ATTCTCACCATAAGAGAATAACTTAGAATTCTAAACTTAGAATATAAGTAAGCAACTAATGCTACAACACCGTCAAAATCTTGACCTAAATCGCTATAGGTACTTCGCTTTGTGGTGGTCATAAAATATGTACCTAGGTACATATAGCTTACATTGCATGACCAAAGGTTAATGATGTTTATAGAATTTATGATAGGACAATTATATTTTCTGTGATAGAACACTTTTTTTAATTTAATTGGTTATTGGGTGATAGATATCTATCTAAAAGTCTTTTTATGATAGGTCAATTCTACCGTTAGTCCTGGAAGACCCAGATCCCTATATATATATCTTCCCAGAACAAGCAAGGACTGTGGAAAACTTCGATTGTTACTATTATGTAAAATAGATTAGTGGATTGCCCCGGCTTCGTACATTTAGTCAAGTACTAATGCAAATGTAATAAAAGAAAACTGAGTGTGATGATTCAGTGAACTGGATAAATTTTGTTTTAAGAAAATAAAAATTTTAAAATCCTTGTCATACAAAATAAAAATGTTTTATTCCGAGTTAACCATTGTCTATGAGAAAAACATGGCTTGCTCGGTTTGACCTTAACATGCTTACACAGAGTGAAACCGAAATTATTTGAATCCTTTTTGAGTGAATATGAATACTTTTTTAACCGAACACTTTTCATAAAGAAACGGGACTAACATTTTTGAGCATCTCATACCAAAATGGCATGTTATGTTTTATATACAAACCCTACAGATACTTACTTATATATTTGCTTATTCGAATTGAGTTAAATTTACCCTGTAGGTAAATGTATTTCAGGCAGAAGGTCACCTACGATGTATCCGTAGTGAGTCAACAGTTTACAGGTCGACCCATATGGATATAATAGAGCAAAGAATAATGTTGTGCTACTATCGAATACATCAACAAAATGCCACCTACAGATTCTAAATAAGAAATAAGTAATTGAAGTTGCTAGACGAGGTTATTGGAAACATTCTTAAATTTAATGACAATAGTGTTTTTTTCTTAAAATAATATTATATATTGGTCTTTAGGCTGTTCCTCTTCCTTTCTCTTGGGTATTGTAAGAGATGATTAAGAGAACTTAATGGTCGAGGGGTGAATAGCAGCGTCCCTCTTTAAACATCATCAAAACCCAACTGCGTTTAGGGGGAAAGGGATTATTAGCAATGGAGTTTGACAGCACCATTGCTACCAATATGCCCTATTAGGTCGACCTCCACGTGGTTCCCACTGGAAATCATCGTAAACAATTCTTGTTGAATTTGTCACGATGGGCCAACTGACCTGCTTCATCCTCACCTATCATTCTTCACTGGTGCTCCGCCAGCGTATCCCGATAGCGCAGGCGGGGTTACCATTCCATTATCACCCATTAAAAAAAACCGAACTGCGGTTGCCAACTTGCCTGCCAAGCATGGCAACTATTAGCCAAACCTACCAATAGGGAGAAGCCTATGTTCAGCAGTGAACAGTTTATGGCTTATATTATATAATGATAATGATGAAGCCAGGCTATATTGTAAAATATACATAAATAAATAGTATTATTTTTTATCAACGTTCCCAAATTTAACTTATGGTAGGGGAATTGGTTAAAAAAGAATATTGTGCAATGTATCCATTGTATAACGTCTCAGTAACTGTAATATGCTCGTTTATCATAACGAAAGAGTAGACACGGAAGACCTACGCATTTTATTACCCTACTGTAATTAGATGAGGAAGTGAGATACGGAACGATGTAATGGGAAAATCGAGTATTGTAAACAAATTGGAACACGAGATTACCTTAATGTCAGTATAAGGTGTTATAATCATCCTCATCATATCAGCTTTTAACTGTCCACTACTGAACATAAGTCTCCTCTTAAGGGATTTTGCCAGTTGTTGCCATACTTGGCAGGAGGATTGGCAACCGCAGTTAAGCTTTAGAGATAGGTTAAGAGGGACGCTCTCTTAGTCGCCTCTTACGACATTCACGGGAAAAAAAAGCCTATTCTATGCCGGAATCACTCGGAAAGAGGTGTTACACTTACCTTAAATCTGGTCTTAATGAATATAATAATAAAAAGAACCTTCTGCAAACCTATTTTAACTATTAGGGTGTTTTGTCACTTTCTTACTAGTTGCAAATATATCACAAAAGAAAAAGACAAAAGACTTCAATAGCCAGCTTTATCAGACATTTTGATAAAATACAACCCATACTACTCAGTGATAATATAGTTTTTCATACGTGAAAGAATTTTAAAAACCGGTTAAGTATATTTTGAGTTTATGTATATTTTCAAAAATAATATATCACTATGTCACTCGATGACAATGTAGCTTTCTATAGACAAAAGTAAGTACTTAGGTATCAATTTATTTACAGACAACATATTATTAATGGTACTAAAATTATAGAAGCGCTGTTTTGACAAATTTACTGTGGAACTTCAAAAATATACATATCATAGCAATTTGTTCTAATTCCTTAGATTTTCCGAAGACTTGGCAAACGCTACAATCATGATAACAATAACAGTAGATAACCAAAGATTTTACTTATCTATTTAATTTTGCTAGTCCATTCTGAGGTCAAGTTTCAAATCTTATTTAATCCTCTATATTTCTAATATTATATATAAAATAAATATATAAAAATAATAATATTTTGCTAATATTATATATATATAAAGATATTTCGATGTTTGTCTCTTTAGATGTTTGGCTATTTGTTACTCAATTACGCTTAAATAGTTGAACGGATAATATTTGGTGCCTATAGGGATAAGTTTTAATTTAATTTAATAAATAAGTTTTTTTGTATACCTACCTATTTATTCACGCAAAACTGCGGGATACAATTAGTGGTATATATCATTATAGAAATGTAATAGTTTACCAGAAGGAGACTTTGTATAAAAGTCGTTTGCTTGGGTACTTCTGTCCCATTCGTGTTTCAACCATGAAGCAGTTGTGTTTGCATGTCTGTGTTTCTATTGTTGGCTATGGTACAGAGGAATAACACCTGAGTCCTCAGGAATGGAAACGCATGGGGGTATCATGGGCGAATCAGTATACTCTGTTATATCCATGGTACTGCTCATGTCTATAGGCGACGGTTACCAATTTTTATCAGGTGGGCCGTCAGCTTGTTTGCCATTATAAGTCGTATAAAAAAAAATGTAATAGTGCTACGTTCATCATAGTGGTAGCAGTTCACGGGTGTCTCTAGCCACCCCATAAGGGATTATTATTATTTTATAATACTGATATCAGCCGTTAGCTATCTACTGCTGTACATAGGCCTTTTTCATAAGGAGGGGTTTGTCAGTAGTTGCCACGCTTGTCAGACGGGTTGGCAACATCAATCATTAAGTTCTTTTAGCGACTCTTACACACATAGAAAAGGAAAATGTGGCCGAGACCACACGGCAATTAGGGATTATAGTCATAAACATATTTTTAAATTAAATTAAAATAAATGAATAAATATAATAGTAGAGGTTTTTACCAACAGTAATATTATTAATTTAATGAAAAAAGACTATTCAAAAATGCTTAAATCTAAGTTTAGTTGAATAAAAATATTTTTTTCTTTCTTTCTTAAATATACCTACTATGGCGAACGTAAGGTGTTTCATTCAGGTAACATTTCGTAGAACATATTAGAATCCAATAGGTATGCTAGGATACGAGCCTACCGGCGTCACTCGAATTAAATTGGTTTATTATTGGTAATCTCCATCAACGAAGAGAGGCCGCAAAACTTAAACTGATACACATAACTTATAGGTAATACCTATAATATTTTTATATTATTTACGATATGTCATAAAAAACAAACTATTTTAAAAAAGGAGAGAGGTGTTCTTTCCTAGGCCTGTATTTATTTATTTATGTAAAGGAACACCGAAAGTATATTTCATTATAACATATATAACGAACATTAAACACAATATAATATTCCACATACCTATTAAAGGTATTCACAGTATTTGTTTTAATATTTTTATTTTATTTTAATTTACTTTAAAAGGAAAACATACAATACCTAAAACATATAAATAGTATACACAGCCATAACATAAATCAGTGAAGTTTCCACAATAAACTAATCAAATAAACAAGAGCAGATGAATGACATAAATAAATAAATAAATATATACTAGACAATACAAAAAATTAAAAGGAAAATAAACATATCAAGGACAATTGACAATTTAAACATGATTTTTCCCTGTCGGATTAAACGGAGTTTGCCAGAAGTTCCTCTCTAACGTGTTTTTATATAAGTTTAAATGAAATATAATATTTTTTAAATATAATATTAATATGAAATGAAAAAAAAATGTGTCTATAACATACGGTCTTGAACTGGTACTATACTATGTATTTGTAAGTTTGGTAACGATATAAAGTATATACAAACTTCATTTTAAAATTTTTAGCGCCAATCGAACTTACGACTCTAATCTTCATATAGAGGCAATGAATTTCTATACCATGACGCTCTTTTGTATTTTAGTTTCACATTTTAGGTAAAGTCTATCTAAGTAATAAGTAGCTACATACTTTAGTATATCATTACATTATAAATAAAATGTATGTAATGTTATTACATCACATATATTTTAAGTACACTATTTATCTATAAAGTCATTGAGTCTATAAAGATGCAGATTTGAATCCTGTCAGATGGAACGTTAAGTTTTAAGATCTATAAAATTAACAAAATAAAATTACTACCTACGTGTATTATTTTACGTAAAGAAATTTAAACAATCGTTTATATATAAAAATGTTTCTACATTATACAACTACTATTTAATACTCACCCAACCTCAGACAAGTAAAAATGTCATTAATTTTTCTTCTTTGTGTCAATGACACAATAAGTTAAAGGCACCCTTTGCTTATCGCATTTTCCCAAATTTTTCCAAGCGTAGATTTGTGTTTGTAGTGATGTGACTAGGATCACTTACCCGGGTATAAAGGAACCGTTGGTTTGCCTCATATAGCTCTGTCGTTCGCGACCGCTCACATCAACCCACATGTTCTTCAATGTTTATTTTTATTTATATCAATAAACGTAAACATGCCATGTTGCGGCTGATTTCGCGCTTGCCCGCCAAAGGTTCGATGTTAACTGGTGCCGTAAATGAAAGTAGACTCGCAACACTGGAGGGCTACAAACTTTGTATGCGCGCGCAACATATAAAACTTTGTGAGAACTTCAGTGGAATTATTTTATTATAATGCATCATTATAAAGAACGTATTTACTTGCTAGAGATAAACCATCTTAAAAATTGAACGACACACTTTTAGGCACTAGCTGTTGGATTTGATTTTACCCGCGCATTCCATTCAGACTTCATGTTCTCGTGGTAATTAAATGAAATCCTTTCTTATCTTATATTGGTATTACTCTCACGTAGATGATTTCGAGATTGACTAATTAGTTTTGGAGTTGATTGGAGTTCTTTGGAATACGTATTAAGAGGATTAAATATAATCTAAGTTATTCGGGTTGTTACGTTATTATATGTTACTATGTTTCGATACCACATAATAAAAAGGTATTCAAGTTTCGATGAAATTAATATAGAAACACTCTCTAAATGAAATTAATAATAAATCGGAACCATTAATTAATTAATATATCTTTTATTTGTATTAACCTTCTCAGAAATGGGCATACATGAAGTGTACCATGGGTATCACAAAATAGTTTATAAAGACTTCACAGCCTATATTGTGTTCTACAAACTGTTCATATCTACAAACGACGGTTATCATTTTTCATCAGTAGATCATTAGTTTGTTTTTTTTTTTTAATTCTAGTTGCACAGTTTACAAAAGTGGCCTAATAACTGAAATAAGTTTTAGGTCACTTTCATAGTCCGTACTGAAGTTCTCGTTTGGTTTATTGGGCAATGACATTGTATGCTCTCCATAGCAAAACGGAAGTGATAATATATTTTTTTAAGTAATTATACTCTGAATTGTATCAAGAAGCGAGTATCTTTGGATTTAATGTTGGGATCCTCCGATTGTAGTCAAGTATTATCCGAATTGCGGAGAATTGAGTTATCACTGCTCTAAATTGATAAGCAGGGTACAGGTATCTAATTGAGATTGATCTTAAGTATATCGTTTGCTTGGGCACCACTGTCCCATTTGTGTTTCTACCGTGAAGCATTTGTGTTTGCATGGCTGTGTTTCGGTTTGAAGGGTAAGATATGGCAGTGAATTTACAGGATACATAGAAATAACACTTGAGTTCTCAGGAATGTCAACGTATGGGTATCATGGGCGAAACAGTATACTATGTTATATCCATGGTATTGCTCATGTCTATAGGCGACGGTTACCACTTTTCATCAGGTGGGCCGTTAGATTGTCTGCCATTCTAAGTGGCATTAAAAAAACCTAATCAAAGATTTCGGATTAATACCTAATAGATGTAATGATAGTACATGCTTATGTATTCGTGTAGTAATGCCTTTATGCTTATTACATTTATTTTGTAATGGCAACTTTGTATAATATACGTCAAAATTTAACATCACAAAGTGTGTAAATAATCTGTGGTTAAATTGTTGTGAGTCAATCTCTCGTCGGTGTACGATAGTGATTTGCTTTTATATCTCAGTTTTTACCATAAAATTGAGTTAACAAATAATGTAAAATGGCTATAAACTTAGACAGACATAGGGAGGCATTACTTGCTGCGTGGAAAGATGTGTTAGACGAGAAAACTGAGACGAACTGGTACGTATTGCTTTCGTTGCATCGCGGCGCCGACCTACTTGAGGACGAAATTAACATTAAACAGGCAATAGAGCAGCTCCTGATTAAAAAAGCAGTTTGTATTCATTACCTTGGCATGCGCTTTGTTGCCTTACGAGTTTAATTAAAACCAATTGTCCAAGAAGTTATAATGCATCTCGCTTTGACCATGTTATAATGAATACTAAAAGCGGTTCTTATTATATTCAGTTGTCATAATGTGTTTTAAGATTATTTTTCTAGAAATAAAATAGTTTTAAATTTGTTATATTATTTATATATTTTTTTAATTCATGAAAATTGTAGGTGCATACATCTTAATTTATGACCTTTAAATTATCTTATCCCAGGGCTTTATTTGGTTACGACGGCTTATCGAACGACCTAAAATTCGTCAGTAAAGGAGATGGGGGTCTTATGGAGCTCATTGACGATTTCAATAGTGGTAAAATTCAGTATGCTTTCTTAAAAGTGGACATTCCAAATGGTAGCATATCTAAGTATGTGCTTATCAACTGGCAGGTATGTATTTCCTTACAAGATAAGATAGTGGTAATAGACTATCATGTGTATACAAAACATCAGTTTTGCATTACTGTGATTCATGTTTAATATTTTTTAGAAAATGTTTGAAGAAGCTGTACTTGTTTACTATTTCATGTGAACATATCATAAGAAAATTATTGTTGACTTTAGAAACAAATAGGTTCTCACTTTGTCTGTATTTTTCTGTATGTATATTATACAATATCTTCTTCAATTGTAAATACATTTTAATGAAAAATTTATAATATAATTTTTATTACCTATATTGATTTCATATATATTTGATCATTATTTAAGACAATTTTATAATAAAACATAACTTATTTAATCAATATATTTACTTAATGTTAAGTTACTTAATGGCCAAGGAATGGACAGTAGGATTCCTCTTTAAATATCACTGAAAGACTAGTCATGGTTGCCAATCCACCTGCCAATTATGGCAACTACTGGCAAATCTTTAAGTAGACTTGACTGTTAACTATTCATTGTTGTGGCATTATAGTTAACAGCTGATGATAATGATGCATATTTAAAAAAGAAAATTGAGAAATGTTAGGTATGATTCTTACATTCATTTTGATCCCAAAAATCTAAATACAGTTTTTTTTTAAAACAAACTGTGAGTTGTTTTCTGTACCATGCTTTAACAGACTATGAATGTGTTGTGGGTTGTTTGTCTTAGATATTAAATAAATAAAAAATAATAATAAAGGATTTTATTATGTTAATGTAAATTAATAAAGGACAATGAGGAAAATTGCATAATTTAGGCCTGTTAACTCATTAGAAATTTATTAAGATTTAATTTTCCTGTTTGTATTACAATTATTGTTATTCTATGGATGTTGAAATGTGCAATTAACCTATCATACCTAAATATAAATAGATATTTAGTTATGATATTAAAACTAGGAAAGAAATTTAAAGAAGTAAATATTCTCACCATAGCTTCATCTCTATAGAGCATAAACTTATCTCGAACAGAGATGTCTCACTGTTTCAAATATTTATTTCTCATTGCAGTTAATGTGTAAATGAATGCTCATAATTATAATAATTATACAAAGAGGAAATTTTAAATATTAAAATTTCATCGAATAAAAAGTCTCTAGCATAAGCCTAAATGTTAATTTAGAGAAATTTAAATATTAATATATGTTTATATGCAAATTTTTGCACTTATACCATACATCTGACCATTTAAAAAAAAAAAAGAATAGCTTGCTTTTGGTAAATATACATAATCTTTTGAGCCATATCCAATTTACTTTATAGTATTAAGAGAAAATCAAGCAAACACAATGTTACTTTATATATATTTACATATATTCTTAGTATGGATAATAAATAAGTTTCTTAATATATATCACACTGTAGATGTACCAATAAGTAAATACTTTATTGAGAATAAAAAATTCTTATATAAATTAATGTTATTAAATTGTACATTCATTTTTAAGGGTGAAGGTGCTCCAACAGTCCGCAAAGGAACTTGTGCAAACCACATCAAACATGTTGCTCAGTTCTTCACTGGTTTTCATATGACAATGCATGCGCGAACAGAAGATGATCTTGATGAGAAGGTCATATTGGATAAATTGGCCAAAGCCGGATCCTCCTTTAATTTTAAGACCAGCAGACCAGAGGAGCTGCCACCCAGTGGGCCTGTGGGCACAGTTTATAAAAAAGTTAATCCAGGTAAATAATATTATATTAACTTTTTTTTCTTTAGCGACTTTTGTCCCCGAGTACTTATGACAGACTTGTGTTTATTATTAATGTTGTTCTAGGTGTTCTCTTTTGATAGATAAAAAAGTTTCTTTAATTATTCATCCTTTATGTAATTGGGCTGATAATAAAAACTACTTGTCAATTTAAATTAGAAAAAGCAGGTGTTACAATGGGTCGAAAATTTTCTTAGGAAGTATAAGCATATTCATTTAAAAAGTTGCACCAAATTTGATGCAGTTTTCACAGTCGTCTATCTGAAGATATAACTGAAATCCACGCGTACGAAGTAGTGGGCACGAAGCTAGTATTAAAATGCGACAATATGAGTTATTCCGGATTCTCTATAAATAGGCCTGTAACAACCGTTGTATTGTTTTGAAATATTAGTAATAACAATTGTGCAGTGGTTTGTTTATCGATTGTATGTAGTTTTTAAATGTAAACATTCCATCATGTGCAACCCTGAGGTTGATGCACACATATAATGCACACAGAGTAAATTTTCTAATAAAATGAAAAAATAAATTTTGTTTTGAAATTATGTCATCTATAAAAGTTGTTGAAGAAATCAAAAGGCTGAGGATTAGTTTAAGGAGAGGTTGGTGGAGCTCAAGAATTATTAAATTTTTAAATGTTGCTCATTCTTATCTATACCCCACAGCAATAGCAGTCGAAGCCTTCGTCTAACTGACCTGAGATACTAGTTTCGAATACATTCTTGTTTATCTAATTATAATTGAATAATGAAAGTAATTTTATTATCCATTGATACAGTTGTTTGAACTTTATTCAAGCACTAGCGATTGCTCACCAGGAATAAATATTGGTTGTATTTTTAATAATTTGAAATAATTAAACAAAAAAGTTGTAAAATATTATAATAATATGCAGGAATGCTTGTAATTATGCTGTATATGTTGCCTTCAATTTCAGTAATAATTCCTAAAATCGTTTAGTGAAATCCTACAGCATTATCCTAAGGTTGGTTTATAAAATTATAAATTCCTAGATTTAGTTATTTCAGTTGATCCATCATTCAGTAAATTTCAACTTTTGCAAATATGAATGAATGCATTTGCATTTTTGTTGCAGTTCAAGAAATAAATTCAAAGGAAAGAGATCAATTTTGGTTGAAAGAAGAACAAGAGGAAAAGAAACGCGTGGAGGCTGAGAGGAAACGAAGAGAGGAGGTGAGAATATAATGATTTTTTTTTCTGTAAAAAGTTGTTTTATTTAATTATAAATTTTTATTACGATTTAAATAAATATTAATACAGTTGTTTTAGTCACAGTACAATTTATTTACCTACTGTCCGTTTGTGTTGTAGGAGAAAAGAAAAGCTGAGGAAGATGTCAGGAAAAGAGACGAAATGGAAGCGGCAAGGAGAGCACAAGCTGAGCAGCAGAAGTGAGTCAATGTTATTATTTATTACTATATAAAAGACACTGCTTTATGTGTGGTAAACACGGTAGTGTTTCTTTTTTTTTAAATAAATATGTACCTTGCTGATAATGTTGCTTTCTAATGGTGAAACATTTTTTAAAATCGATTAAATATTTTATACTTTACATTACTAACAAAATATGAAATCGTTGCTCTTTATCATACTAGTTTAAATGGTAAATGTATGCATAAGATAGAATGGAAGGATATATACTGTTTTAGTTTATTTAACGCTGCGATAGCTGGGCAAATGCCCTGAGTGGCTAATTACTTTAGACACTCAGGTCATTTGCGAGGCAGGACAAGTGCAGTATTATTTTAGCCTGCTGCGGCAAATGGTGTTTTTGCCTGGCGCGGTATAATTATTATCGTGCACTGATGGGTTATTATGGTTGTTAGAAATTCAAGCCCGCCGTCAGTTGGTGCTAACGCGGGTGGCGCCGCGGTCGCGAGCGAGTCTGTACGGCGTCAGCGGTCGGCAGAGGCACGGCAACTAATCGGTGCTTCCACCGCCGCGGCGCGCGCTATGTTCCAGCAGAACCTCGCGCAAGGACAGATGACTAACAAGTCTGTATAATTTCTAAATATGCAAGCCATCCTTAGCATAGAATAGGCTTTACTGGTATTAATATGAACCCTCCGGAGGAGTCTGGAGGGTGCAGGTTTACTAAAGAGGAGCGAACCAGGCCAGGGGGGAAACCCAGCAGTCAAAAGTCCTCGTATCGGGCAGTAGTGGGATAGCGGTCAGGAGTGGGTGCTCAGTAACAGCATAGAATAGGCCACCCCTCCCTCTTCCTTTGGGTAACGTAAGAGACTACTTAATGGTTGAGGAGTGGGCAGCAGCATCTCTCTTTAAACATGAAGGAGGCCAATGTTCAGCAGTGGACAATTAACGGCTGATATGATGATGATGACGAAAGTTAGGTCAGAGAGTGCGACGCTCCAGCTGTACGAAGCTGTTTAATTGCGACTCACTCGCCTCTTTTTATCTATCGACAAACGATATTATTAGCTTAACAATGAGGCTTCGTTAGTACGGCAGCCTATAAACTATGATGATGATGATGATAATAATTTCATGGTTTTCAGATCAAACACAACCGTGCCAGAGAAACCGATCCGCAGCTCCGTGATAGCGCAACGCATCAACACATTCAGTCAAGCGCAAAACGCTTCACCTACGCCCACTTCGCCTCCTGTCCAGTCGCCGTCTAAAGTCGAAACAAAATCTACGTTACACGAAGAACCTGTAGAACAAACTAAAACCAGCCCGTTAAAGAACATAGACAAAATAAAGATGAGTCTGGAAAGTCCTTCGCAGATACAATACGAACCGATCATAGACCCGTCAGCGGATCTGAGTCCGAGTACAGAAAACGAGCCGGGTTCGTTTAGTGCAATCAACTATTCGGAATATGAACAAAATGAAAACAATTATAGAGATATAGACGGCGACTCGTTGAAACAGAGCGAGCCGATGATAAAACAGAACATTCTAGAGAACGATATGTTCGACGCGTCGTATTCGAGTTCGAACGAAAACGATGACGACGATAGCGACAATAAGTTCAGTACGATCAAACGGTCGCCGTACAGTAAGAATAATATTGCGGAAGAAAATGAGCGGTCAGAACTGAGCAGACAGAATACTGTTATTGAGAATGTCAATTATAAGAAGGAACAGAACGGCACTAACGCGTATGAAGGTAAGGAAGTATTTGTGTATTCTCCCAACCACAACACTGGACTTTTTTATAGTCCACAGTATTGTGGTTGGTACTGTAGCCTATGGACGCCTGCAATACTAGGGGTGTTACGTGCGCGTTGCAAACCTTGCAGAAACCTTATACTTTTTGAAGGACCCCCATACTGTAGTCTCTAGGGAAAACTTCGGCTGGGAGTTTATTCAACAGTTTGAGCATTTGTCGGTGAAAAATTCTCTGAAACCATATGTACTTGATTATTTGGGTTCAAGCGTGTGAGGATGAATTCCCATGCCATGCAAATACATGATAAATAAATAATTAAATAAAAAAAAAGTAATTTCAGAAATATTTAAATCATATTCCAGTTATTATTGCGTGATTACATTTTAAAATGGGCCGGACTTAAACATGCACCTTGATATATTTATATTAATTTGCCTTTAGTATATTGCGATGTGTTTAATCTGTACAGATTAAACATATTATTATATTCTTCTGTATTATATTATAAAGAAGAAAGATTTGATTGTTTGGTTATTTGTAATGGATAGATTCAAAAACTATTTGACCGATTTAAAAAAATTCTGTCATCTATAGAAAGCTATATTATATAAAAAATACTATCTACCTGTGTGTAAAATCGGGCCTCATCGCTAGAATAATTATACATATTCATTGTAAATAAATAAGAAGTCTTCTGGATGAAGTCTAAACAATTGCCAGAAATGACAGATACAGTAAGTTCTTAAAATTCCAGTTGTACATATATGTAGATATAGTTAAAGAATGCACATAAATTTTAAAAATAATAAATGTTTACAATATGTTTTGTTTATCAGATGTATCACCAGAAGGAGAAGAAAGCACAATATATGAGGATTTGGATGAAGATCCCGGACTGACGGCAAGAGCGTTGTACGATTATCAAGCTGGTGAGTATGTTGTCAATAACGAGGGAATGAGAGAAAAAATCCCACCTTTAAATTGTATCACAGCTATGTAAACACCGCTTCATAGTCGAAACATTATTTTTAGGGGATAGGAAGGTAGTAATGAGGTTGAACTGCCTCATTACTGCAACATACTTTGTTAGGTCGACCTCCGCGTCGTCCCTCAAGAAAACCATCGTAGCTAATTCTTTGTGAATTTGTCATGATTGATCAACTAACCTGCTTTATTCTTACCTATCTTTCTTTACTGGTACCCCATCAGCGTATACCGATTGAGCAGGTGGATTTATCATTCCATTTTAACTCATTAAAAAATAGCATCATTATTCGTAATTTACTATAAAATTTATATATATACTATTGTTAATATCTTTATTCATTTAATAATTTAATTCCATTTTAATATTTATCAAACACAAGGCATGCTGTGGTTGTCTCTAAACGTGACAACAGTTAGATCTAATACACTAGTGTATTGTATTGAAATGCTTCGCTATACCTTATATTGGTGATCCTATAAATATATAAAATAAAATGTATTTTTCGGTGTTTCACAGCGGACGAGTCGGAGATCACGTTCGACCCTGGCGATATTATTACGCACATAGAGCAGATCGACGCCGGCTGGTGGCAAGGCCTTGGACCCCACGGCGTATTTGGCCTGTTCCCGGCCAACTATGTGGAACTATTACCGTGCCACCCCCGCTAGTGGACAATCGAACACGACTGAGGAGGTAGGTCACATCAGTGATCGCCAATTTTGTATTTATTATTAATGTGTACAGCGTGCACTTAGTAAGATAGATTGTCAGTGTCATACAGTCTCAGAATATGAAGTAAACTGAAAGACGTGTACGCATAAAGACTTGTTTGAAGCCACTAAAACTTAATTTTGTTTTAGAGCAAATTAGCGGTAATTTAAGCATTATTAAATGGTCATTTTTAGAGAATAACAAAATAATATAAAAATAAGAGATGTAGGTTTTTTTTAATGCATGATAATGCAATGGTAACTCCGCCTGCGCTAACGGTATACGCGGGGCACCAGTCAGGGATGATAGGTGAGAATGAAAAGGCAGATCAGTTAGTCCATAGTGATGAATACACCCGGAATTCAGCACGATGGTTTCCAAGGGGGACCACGTGGAGGTCGACCTGCTATGGTACATTGCTAGCAATGGGATTAGTAGTCCGCGTTACTAACACTCTCTTCCTCCCCATGAGATATAGGTTCGGGCTAAAGGGATGTATAAAATATAATAAAAAATGGATAATAAAATAGAATAATAAAAAATAGCCAAAAAGGGATGGGCGGGGCATATATTCAGCAATGGACACTTATTGGCTGATATGATATGATGAAGTATGATATAAAAGAATGCTTTTAGCCACATCTTAGTATATCTTATTATACAAATTAGTATAAAAGATATATACTAAGATAGTTTTACTAAACAAAATTTGAATGATTGGAGAAAAGACTAGAATTTGCCTGCTTGTTTTTAATTTACGAAATATGGAGCCATAACATCAGAGCTTAAGAATGGCAACACATATAGGATACTATAGTTATCACAATGTTTTCACGTCCATAATGCTGTTCAGGTTAATAGGCCATACGCTTTCCACCAAGTGGATCGTCAGCTAGCTAGATTGCTAGTCTAAGAAATGAAAAAATCATACTAATAGAACGTTTGCGCTTGTAATTAATCACTGTGTTGTATTAGTGAGCTGTACAATTGTAATTTCATTTGTTTTGACGGAAAAGATTTTTATAAACTAGCAACATTACATGAAAGAGTACGTGGCGTACGTTTATTGATTTTTTAACACCGAATGGCAAATGCGACTGCTTTTGGTTTGTTGCATATTCTGATTCTGAATTTGCAGTATTTAATGTCGGAGACGTCATACACTTTATTTCTGTAATATGTTTTTGGCACTCGGTTCTCTTTGCCTACCCTGCAAGAGACATGGCGTGAAGATAGATACATAAAACGTTATGCCACTTTTTCTCTACTATTTTTTTCTTCCAGATTTTTTTATTTTTTGGTAGTGAAAATGCCAGAAAGAATATTGTGATTGGATGGAAAAATTGAAACAATTTTATTTATATCATGGCACAGAGAAGAACTGTATACTCGTGTTGAATTCTCAGTCATATTCAGCATTCCCATTAGTACGGAATATATATATATATATATATATATATATGGGACATATAAACCTCTATCATCTAAAATTACCTGCATTCTAGCAAAAGAAATTCATTTCATTTCATTTCATATGACATTTGCACGAAATTATTATTAGACAATATTTTTTATTTGTCTTATTTTCTTTTCCTCTATCAATCAATTGGTACCATTGGTATAAATATTGGTACTAGGGTTATTTGGATGGAAAAAGTGGCATAAAATGTTCAACCATTGAATAAAAATTATTTGTAGTCATCAATTAACCTGAAGTCTGAACAAAGTTTTAGTAGTTTTGTTTGAGGTATAATGTAACCAAGTTCTGTAGCACATAAGAGACGTTTAAAGTTGACATTACGTTGAATATAGAATAATGTAGTGTCGCCTTTAGATTCTCCAATTAGTCATATTAGAGGCATTGTTTACCAAGCTACCTGCCTCAACTTATTTGGCTCAAAGTGATTTCTAATACATAATATTAAGGTTGTTTATCATATAGTTTAATTTTTCTTTTAAAAATATTAGTAAAAGACATCATGTTCTTACACAATAGTGAATTCAGTTTTTATTTTTAATTACATTAGAAATATATTTGAGTGATATTGCCTAGACGTTAGGCTTTTGTCATTCACAAAAACGTATTAATAAATGTATAAAAATGTATTTGGCGTGTATTGGAATATTTTATGCAGTAAATCTTGTTTATATGACTGTATTTAAATTAAATTGAATTAAAATATTGACAAGACAGCGATTCATTACTTTTGTATTTTTATTTGGAGGAAACTACGCAAAAAGATCTATCTGGATTTAACGATGTTATTAAGTAACGGAGACTTTTCTTAGCTTTAAAACATGATGAATTTAATTTTGTAGTAATTATTTATGTACAAATTACAATTTTTTTTTAATTATAGCAACAATCTTGGGACCACACATTTTCATTTATGTCTACTTCAATAGAAATAACTCGCAACTTTTTTTTAAATTAATGGTACAATTTGTGACTATATTATCCAATTTATTGATCATGTATTCGTATTTTTTCCGCGAAAATTACGTATGAAGTCTACAGAACAAATAAGCAGTGAAATATTTTTAGTCGAAAAGAAAAGATCCGATTTATATATTTTTTTAACATGAAGCATATTTCTCACGAGAGGCCTAACACTCGTATGGCTAGCTGACATTTGGTTTCCCAATGAATTATACACATATGTTTATTATTTGTTTGTATGTTCATTTAATAGTAATACACGTAATGTGAGAGAAATTAGTATTAAGGAGAATGTTAGATAAAAAAAGTGATGTGTATAATGTTGATGTATGTATATTTGTCTGAAAATGGATGGATAATTTTCTGACCGTTAAGGTCGAAAAAATGATTTTTCTTTACTTTTTATTTCATATAATACAATAAAAACAGAATGTTCCGTAATTAAAAATTTTTAAATGTAACTTTAATTCAAATTTTACTTTTTTTTATATCGAAAACTATAAAACCTAAGTCAAAATCTAATATTATATCTATGTGTTATTAATTTTAAGGGTATATCCCAGTAGGACACAAATAAGCTCTTAGGTTTCATTATAAAAAAATAATATTAATTGATCTAAATATTTAGAAAAAAAAAATACACTTTTTTTGTTATAATTGATTATTGGATAAATATTTCCCGTTTATTTAAATAGTTTCTAAGTACAAACATAGAAGAAGCTGTACTTCTGTTTTAGAACAAGCGTACAATGATGTTGGTAAACAGTGATTTTTTTTTTGTTTTCTATATTTATTAAATATAAACTGGGATATACTCTAGGAAAATTATACTAACGAAGTAATTTTATTTAGTCAAAATAAAAGGGGCGTTGTTACGCCGATGATCGTGGGGAAATTATGTGGATGATTTATTACAATTTCCATCATGACCCAATGGTGACATTTTTTTTTTTAATGGATGACAATCGTTGGACAACCCCGCCTGCGTTAACGGTATACGCTGGCGAGGCACCAGTGAGGGATGATATATGAAGATTAAAAGGCAGGTCATTTAGCCATCGTGATGAATTCACTTTTTAGGGGGAACCGTGAGGAGGTCGACCTGACACGGCGTATTGCTAGCAATGGGGCTACTAGTCCTCATTACTAACAATCCCTTCTTCCCCCCTGGTGAAGTTATTAATAATAATATAATAAGTGCAAGGACATACGCGTGTACAGCTATGATTTGTAACACTTATTGGAATGCAATTAATTTTATTAAGAAGATAAATAATTCAGTACATAATCGTGAGTTGTATAGGTGTGTGACCTTTAAACTTTTTGGGCCTGGAACTGTACATAAATCGTAATTACAGATATAGTTGACAGTAGGTGACGCGGTTGTTCTAATTGTTTATTTTGTTCATCGAAAACGTCTGTTTTTCATACATTTTAACAATTTTGCGTTATCTATTCATATTTATATAATTGTGTTGTAATCATATTGAAACTTTATTGACTGCTTTAATTTTAATATAATATTACAAATGCTTTTAGCGGTACTTAGATTACGCGACTTATTTATTTAGTTTGGATAAGTGCTCGATGTAAAATGAAATTTATTAGATTTACTGCTTTTTTATTACATTACATCAATTAATTAATACTAGTTATTTTATAAAGGATTAGTTGTGATGGGTATACCAATTTGGATAAAACTTCTTTATTATGAAAGATATTAATTTTCATGCACAAACTATGTTCCTTGGAGAATGAATATTATTCATTTTCATGAAATTACTGGATTTCTGGTTGGTATATCGTTCACGACTAATTTAATATAGAAATAATTAATTATATTGTATGAATTGAATGTAAATTGTAACTTTAGTATTATATTATTATATATTTATGTCAGTGTGTAAGTGTTATATACATATTTGTTGCTATTACATTTTGTAGCTTAAATATGAATTTATTTTTAATGTTTTAAATATATATTTATTTTCAATGTTTGTGCTCAAGCTGAATATTTACAACTCACAATTTAAGTTACAATACCTGTTCAGTCTAGGTAGTGCCAATTAATCTTATAACATTTGTTAATTATATAAAGTTCTCATAGAGTCATTCTAGAATTTTCTTTTTTGTACTGGTTGAATGTTTGTAATCAGAGTGCAGTAAAAGTATATTTTTATTGCAATCTGACCATTTTTAAATGTCCCGGTCCCAGTGTTCTGGGCTCTCTCCCTGAATGTCTAGTGTCAGTTGTACAAATTTTTAAGTTACAACTGCATGTCATGTCAATGCACATGAGTTTGTATTAAAAACTTTGCTGCGCCTCTAGCGGGTGGTTTCGGAAACTTATATATAGTTTTCGACACAAACGTGAACGCAGTCTTAGCGTAAATATTTGTTTGACCAAGTACTAGTCACTCAGATGTATAAGGAGGGTAAAAATAAGGAGAACTATCTCATATGAGGGAACGGTAGTCCAGTTGTACGCCGTAAATAACAGTTCCAAATACTTCCAGAATGGCGCTAGAATAGTAAGAGGTTATGAAATAAATTTAGCAGTTGCTGATAGAGTGAAGTGTGCCGAGTTGAAAAAGTTACTAGTTGTAGTAGTTAATATATACTTATTTACTATTTAATGTATAATTAAAAATTTAACAATATTTAATTTAACATAACATTAATTAATGGTTTATTTATTTAGGTTTGATTTTTAAAATGAGCGCCATTAACGATATTTGACGGAGATTTTTTCAATCACAAGATGGTTCTTTTTACTTCTACCCTCCTTAGTTCATTGGTTTCTCATAACACAGTGAATCCTAATTTGAGGACCAGGTAGTAGTTGTGATTGAGTGGCAATTAAAAAATAATTTGCGTATTGCTTTTGGCGACTGGCGACTGAAAAGCCCATCTTACACGAATCTTAATAGGATTTGCACTGCTGGTTACACCAAGACCCATTATTATTCGTGTCAAATGTGATCTTTGACTCCTCTCCCCCAGTCTGTTTTAATGTTTTATCGATTGTTTATCCCGTTATAAACCTGTAAAACTACTATTATAAATATTTACGGTCACACAATGTAACAATAGTATTACATTCTAAACAGTTACATATACTGTTTAGTTTTTATAATAATTCGACACGCAATAGAAAGCAGAGATTTATATACAAAATAACAATTTAACACATTATGTATATTATAGTTCGTCGTAATATTTTTAAGACTAAGATTTTTATTTTTAAGTATAATAATTGGTTGGTTTAAATGAAATTTGTATGTTATAATTTCTCGACATTTGTTTCTGTTAACTCACTCTAATGAAGACTTCTAGATAACGTTAGAACCATTATAATCTCTGTAGTTCAGTGATAGGTGTGTGCTTTTTGATAAATGAGAGTGCTGGTTTGAATCTTGACAATATAAGAATCCATTTTCATGTATGGTCATTCTAGGTGTTCTCGAATTTTCTTTGTCTAGTTTCTCATTCAATAGGGTTCAGAGAAAAAGATAATTGATGTTAATTTAGTATTTACTTCACTGTCGGAAAATGTTTCTATATATATTTCATTTAAATAGCAACAACCAGTTGGACGATCGTTTTAAAAGCAACAATATCGCACATTATGCATTTATGTAAATAACGACAAGTCTATTACATATAACCTAACCAATTTTCAGTCATTTATATTTTAAGACGGTTAGAGCTTGTGCAGACGAGAGACCACCATCGAGGATTTATGTATGTCAATATAAATTGCACTGTACGCACGTCCCTGCTTTTGACAATGGGAAGTTTTGTCCACTCTAGACAAACTGCTCGTCTGTACAGGCCCTTCAAGTGGATGTGCCCCAATAATAGTGAATAAGACTAAGCTTTGCCTTTACCCTTCTATACATAATAGTGGTAAGCCATAAGTGAGATGTAATTTTCGTATTGCGTTGACACAAGTATGTTCCCATATTGTAACATACCTATATAATTGCAATATAATTTTTTGTATGGTGCTCCATTTTATATTGGTTTACATTTGTATCCTACTATTTTCGAAATAAACAAGTCCTAGATTCCAGAACAGTTTGTAGTTTTATTGAAGATACACAAATACTTCCGAGTTTCTAACCTTAGTTTGACGCCGATTATTTTACTACTGCGTTAGGCGTTTACACGGTGTGTGTTTCTTTTCTATGGATGGTATTGGAATGGTTACTCCGCCTGCGCTATCGGTGAAAAATGATAGGTGCACCATTGAAAAATGATAGGTGAAGGTAAAGCAGGTTAGTCAAGTCATCGTGACAAATTTACTAATGAATCAATCACGATAGTTTCCAGGGGGAACCGCGAGGAGATCGACCTGAAAGGGTATATTGCTAGTAATAAGGTTGCTAATCCTATTTTATTAACAAAAAAAAAACAATCCCTTTTTCTCCCCAACGGTGTTTGTGGTTGAACTCGTCAGAAAAGGATCAACCGATTTTTATGATTTTTTTTATACAACTTAGAATGACAAACAAGCTGACGGTCCACCTGATGGAAAGTGGTAATCGTCGCTTATAGACATGAGCAGTACCATGGACATAACAGAGTATACTGTTTCGCCCATAATACCCCCCATGCGTTGCCATTTCTGAGGACTCAGTGTTATTCCTCTGTACCCAGTAAATTCACGCCATATCCCACCCTTCAAACCGAAACACAGCCATGCAAACAACTGCTTCATGGTAGAAACACGAATGGGGCAGAGAACAATGTTTGCCGGTTTGGTTAGTATTTTCTAAGTCCAATGTTGATGTGATATAAAATATTTAGGTACATATCTGCAGTATTCTGCTCACAGAAGTTCCGCAGATACTATATAAAACGAAAAGATGCAAGTATAAAATTTTTAATTTATAATTCTAAATTAATAATATTAGTTTCCAATTAACAGAATTAGGTACATTAATATTTTTAACATTGTAAAATAGTGCTGTTTCACAAAATATCAGCAAATACTCCGTGTCGTGGCAAAGGTATGCCATTTACCACGTCAGGGTTAACCTGGAAATAAATAAAGAAAAAAACATATGAAATTGCTAGTTTCATAGTTGGGGACATTTTTCAATAAGGAAATTAAATAATTTATTTTGACACAAAAACAGTTAAAGAATTAGTAAATCGGTTATCTTTCCTCTTAGGGGACAAAATTATGGGATTTCAACAGAACATCTCTTCTTAGCATTCATCCTATTTGTAAATTTTTTACCTAATAATTCTATATTTTTCGCAAAACTTTTAGGTGCGATAAAAGATTTGTTGCTTACAATAATTTCTGATTCTGTTACGATCAATCAATTAAATATACGATTGCATTAATTACGAAAGTCAATTCGATAAAATAAAGCATATTTTTTTTATAAGCTGTTAATTTTTTTTTTTTATTTGATACGCTAATTTCATAGACAAAGTTTTATTATTTTATGACAACAAAAATCGACTATATTTACCTTCACTCTTATATCTCTGGGCATAAAATCGTGGAAGAACTGATAAAATTCAAAGTGTGTCTTGACAACATTTAATCTGGCCATCTCGTGCTTCAGTACTTCGACTGCATCGATTGGGGCGACGGGGTGTCGGCGTACGTCTTTTGTAAAGTTATATATCGTTTCCACTAATTTCTCAGAACGTAAACGCGTCTTGTAATCGTACCTGAAAATATGTAAAAGTGCTATTTTTTTTAAATATAAAAATGGAATAGTAACCCTGCCTACACTATGCAACGTGTTCTGTTGGTGGGGTTAACAGTCAGTGATATTTTTTTTATGGGGAAAAATGGTATGGTAACCCCACCTGCGCTAACGGGATACGCTGGCGGAGCACCAGTGAAGGGTGATAGATGAGAATGAAAACAGGCCAGTTAGCCCATCATGATGAATTCATCAGGAATTAATCATGATAGTTTCTTTAATAAAATGCAATTTCACATGACAGAGTATATATTTAAATCTAAGACAGTAAAAAATGTCAGAGGTTAATATGTTTTTTAAAAAGAGTATACGATGAGGTTGTAACATTACTCCCCAATGAATATGATTTATATACAATGTTTGTCTGTCTCTACAATGTTTCTTAATCATAAAGTAGTCGTCTCGGAGGGCGTCTGGTACGTACACTACGACGCAATGGTACGGCTGTTTCCTCGGCCGTAGAATATGCCTCTTTAGTAAGTGGTATTGATGTCAATTGTTGCCATTCTTGTGGTAGCTCACAGGGTGATGTTTGTAACGGTGTAATTGGAGCATTTGCTTGAGTTTGCTCTGGAGAAGGTTCCTGAATTTCTGATGTTGGGGCCTGTAATGGAGTCATACTCGCTTGTGAGTCTTGAGATGGTTCTTTAACCATTCCTCCTATTTTGGTACTTTCAGCTTCATCAATTGCTCGAGAACGTATATGATCTGCATGTCTTCGTTTTTCCACACCATCAGGTGTTTGAACTAGGTACGAATAACGGTGAGTACGTAATGTTACAGTAGCAGGATGCCAAGTTGATTCATTTCGCGTGCGTATATAAACTGGGTCACCACTCTTAAATTCTTTTAAAGGCTGATCTCCATGTAAGTTAGTTTGAAGTTGTTTGAAATTTAGTGTTTTTCTTAAATCTGGGCGTAGATTGTCAAATACACAATTTAGTTGATGGCCAAACATTATTTGTGCTGGAGATTTACCTGTTGTAGAATGTGGTGTATTACGATAACTGAACAGGAAATTTCTTAAGCGTTGTTTCAAGTTAGCTCCGTCTTCGTTACTGGCTGATAACCGGGTCTTGAAAGTGCGAACAAGGCGTTCTGCTAATCCGTTGGAGCGAGGATGGTACGGTGATACCCGAATATGTAAGATTCCATACTGCTTGCAATAATTTTCAAACTCATGCGACGTAAATTGTGGACCATTATCAGATACAATAATCTTGGGTAGACCGAAAGTAGTAAATATTCCATCCAGTTTAGCACATAGTTTTACTGTAGTAGTTTTAGTCATTGGTCGTACTTCAATCCATTTTGATAAAGCATCAACAACTACTACCCAATACTTTCCTTCGAAAGGACCTGCGAAATCAATATGAATTCTTTCCCAATTTTTTTCTGGGATAGACCAAGAGTAAATAGGGAGTTCTGGATCATTCGGCCTGTTTTCTTGACATTTATGGCAAAGTTTAATATATCTATCTATATCTTCGTCTATGGAGGGCCACCAGACATAAAATCTAGCCAGAGCTCGCATAGCAGATGTGCCTGGATGGCCGCGGTGGAGGTAGTGTAATACAGCTTTTTGTATCCCTTGTGGAATTACAATTCTTCCGCCCCACATTATAATTTTATTCTCGATGGCAAGTTCTTCACGTTTTCGATAGTAAGGTTTTAGGTGACTATTACATTGATTCTTCCAGCCAAGTTTAATATGATTGGATACTTCCCTTAGGACGGGATCTTTTCCTGTTTCTTCTTTAATCAGTTTCTCTGAAAGTGTTAAATCAATCATTTTTATCGCTTGCAATCGCGTGCCTATTTTATGTACAGTCAGTTCACCTTCAGACGGTATTTGGTCAGGGTTTGGCATTCTTGACAAAAAGTCTGCAAGAATATTGTGTTCTCCCTTTCGATACTCAATGTGATAATTATAACACCCAATTGCTAACGCCCATCTCACCAATCTGTTATTAACAAGTTTAGGCAGATTTCTTTGTGGGCCTAAAAGGTAGATTAAAGGTTTGTGATCAGTAATTAATGTAAAACGGACTCCTCTTAAGAACTGATCAAATTTTTTGATACCAAAGTAGATAGCTAATGCTTCTCGGTCTATTACAGAGTATTTACTTTCTGCAGGTTTTAATTTCCTAGAAGCATATGCGACCGGTTGTTCAATATTGTGTTCTTTGTGGAAAAGAACAGCCCCAAGTCCTTTTTCGGAAGCATCACATGCTAGATAAAGCATTCGTTTATCATCATAAGCTATCAGAGGTCTTGTTTTTGTTATGCAGGTTTTTACCTTTTCAAATGCGGTTTGTAATTCTTTCGTCCATTTCCATTTTTTTCGTGAAGATGTTAAGTCGTGCAAGTCTGAACAAAGTGTATGTAAGTGCGGAATGAATCGCTCGTAAAAGTTGACCATTCCTAAAAAAGATCGTAGTTCTTTAGTATTGTTTGGCGCTGGAGCTTTAGCGATTGCATCAATTTTTGTTTTAGTTGGGCGTACACCACGTGCGTCAATTATGTGTCCAAGATATTCAATTTCGGGTTGGAGAAAACTACATTTTTTTAAGTTAACTTTGAGGCCAGCTTCTAGCAATCTCTTGAGTACTGACGTCAGAGTACTTAGGTGTTCGCTGTCATTTTTTCCTGTTACTGCAATATCATCGAAGTAGACGGCCGTATTCGGGATGTTGTCTAGTAGTTTTTCTAAATAATGTTGAAAAATTGATGGTGCTGTTGCAATACCGAAGGGCATTCGATTGTATTGGAAATATCCTTTATGTGTTGTTATTGTAAGATACTTTTTTGATTCAGGGGCAATTTCAAATTGAAGATATGCATCCTTTAAGTCAATTTTGGAAAATTTTTCACCATTTGCAAGCTGTTGTCTTAATTGGTCAAAAAGTGGTACTGGATGTAGGTGTGTTATTAATGCAGGGTTGATTGTGACGCGATAATCACCGCAAATACGAATTTGACCATTAGGTTTTACGACATTAACTGTTGGAGTTGACCATTCTACGGGTGTTATGTTAGGATCCACTTTTGTGATAATCCCTTCTTGCACTAATCGATCTAGTTCCAGTTCAATGTTCTTTTTGATACTGAATTTTACAGGACGTGGTGGAAAATGTTTTGCTTCTGTTCCCGGTTTAATGTGAATGTTGACCTGATAGTTTTTTACTTTACCAAGTTTGTTGTTGAAAAGTGTTGCGTAATTTGTTAGGATGTTTTGTAGTGTCTGTTGTTCATTAATTGCTTTAATAGAATATACAGCTTCCGGAAATTCCATTCCAAACATTTCACTCCAGTCTAATCCAAACAGCATAGGGTCTGAAGTCTTCATGACAATGACAGGAAGAATTTTTTGTTTTCCCTGTATTTCCACTGATACTTCTGTTAGTCCTCTTGGTTTAAGTTTAAAATCATTATTTCCATATGCTTTCAGAGGTGGTGAACGTTTTAATTGTGGTGATCCAATTTGTTTCCAAAATTTTGTATTTATAATAGAGAACTTCGAACCTGTATCCCAATCCATTGTACAGGGTATGCCATTGATAATGGGGTCTATTCTCTTGCAGTCTTTGTTCTTGTTAAGGTGATATACTCCTTGTTCACTACATTCGTCGTCTGTAGTAGTTGACGATGATGATGATGATGATTCATTCGCGTCTTGGTAGCGAGATGAAGTGGTGTTTTGAGTCCTTTTAATGCTTTGTGTGTGCGGCCTGCTGTCAATAAAAGCGCGTCCTGTTTTAATGCAACATGATTCGAAATGGCCGATTGTGTCACATGCTTTGCAATTATGATTTATAGCTTTGCATTCATCATTACTATGCTTCTGTTTATTTCCACATCTGAAACAGTGGTCTTTTTTGAGTTTTCTGTTTATAACTTTATTGTTTTTATTGTTTGTACGTTTATGTTTATTGTCTCTTATTCTTCTAACAATGTTATCAGATTCTGCTATCTCTCTGGATTGAGCGAAAGTAAATAGTTGTTGGAATGTGACTTCTATTAATTTTCCAGTCTCATCTTTCTCAAGCAGGTCAGGCCATCTTTGTTTTAGGTCTATCTCTAACGCTGCATGATTAAGGCCTGTTGCAAATCTATCTCGTAATTGTCTCTCTAGCAAATTGTCATATTTGCAATCCTTACTCAGTTCCTTTAGCCTGTTTGCATAATTTGTCATTGACTCGTTTTGTTGACGTGTTGCATTCCAAAAATCAGTGAGGGCTTTATACCTTGTTTTTCTAGTACCATAAAGGTCAATTAATTTAATTTTAATGTCGTTATATGTCGATGTTTCAAAATGCGGTGTGAACGCTACCTTAACTTCATGGAATATTTCAGGGCTAAGGCATGTGAAAAGTAATTGTCTCTTCACATTGTCAGTGTCTCCACCCCATATGTTACATTTGACTTCAAAGTAGTCTATGAAATTATGTATATCCGTTGTTGCGGGATTGAATTGATCGCATTTAAAATTTTTTAAGACTGTGTTTGACGATGTTGTCAATATGCTCGAGTCTGTTGCACTCGTAGTAGGGGTCTGTGACGTTCCACTTACTTGTATTACTGTTTGTGTAAGTAATTCCAGTATTTTAGTTATTTGTGTTTGTTGGTTTTGTTGTACCTTAAGGAATTCTTCCATTAATTCCGGATTCATTTTAAAATCCTCGTCGCCAATTTAATAAAATGCAATTTCACATGACAGAGTATATATTTAAATCTAAGACAGTAAAAAATGTCAGAGGTTAATATGTTTTTTAAAAAGAGTATACGATGAGGTTGTAACAGTTTCCAGTGGCTATCTCCACGCGGTTCCCTCTGGAAACCATCGCGGTTAATTTCCGATTAATTTGTCATGATGTGCTAACTGGTTTATTTTCATTATCATCTATCACCCTTCACTGGCCGCCAGCGTATACCATTAGCGCAGGCAGGGTTGGTATTCTATTTTCACAATAAAAAAGAGATAGGATATATTGATAGTAAATAGGGCAGTTGGGTCCCATTACTAACAATCCCTTTTTCGCCGAACACGACGTATTAGTACGGGGGGATAAAATTATTGAAGTTTTCAGCCCATATTTCTTAGAGAAAAATGCCCTGTTGCACTTCCATAACACCTCATATACGGATGCTGATTATTTCAGATTTGATTTGATGATAAAATACAAGTCTTTTAAAGTATGTATTTATAAGGGCGACTTACTTGGGTTCCAACTTTGTTTCTAAGAATTTATAAAGACGTTTAGTGATCCACGACGCGTTCCTGGGTTGGAACCGTGGTGGTGGCTTGTACTTCATGTCTTCCAATAGTTCTGTTGGTAGATCACCCAAATCTAATACTGATGATTTCACTTGTTTACTTTTTGATTTATTTTTATTCCTAACCGTTTTTGTAGTAGCTCGCTGTAATGTAAAATTAGGGCGAGCGGGCACTTTGAACGGATTGAGCACATCTCTTGTGCTTGGAGCTTTAAGTGAATTCCGGACCTCTTCTTCCTGTTAATAAATAAAGATATGTTTTTTAGATTTGGTTAATGTTCTGTCTTATAGCAGGTCGCTTAGCGTTGATCAAATTATTATCAATACCTCATACATTCTCTCAATTAAAAAATTTGTCGCATATATATCAGACTTGCAAAAAAAAAAAAAAAATTACAAACTTAATATGTGTATAACATTTTGTTTTCTCTTGGCATTTTAAGAGATTAACCATTTGTCATGTTATTTGGTACACATGTTCTATTACTGGTGGGAAAAAAACTTATTATTAAGGAAGGCTATATTTTTATTCAGATAAATCGATAATTCCTGTTTACGAATATAAAGTCGCGAAGAAGAACTAGTTAAAAAAAGCTTACAAAAAATAATGTATACAATCATACAAAAACCTTTTGTTTATGTATTATAAAGAAATAACAGTGTATAAAATAATGTAGTGGGTCATTCTATGCCGTGTAATCCAAGCATAGAATGGGTCACCCCTTGCTTTCCTGTGGATGTCGTAAGACGAGTAAGGGAGCTTAATGGTTTAGGTTTTAAAACATCACCAAAATCCAAACTACAGTTGTCAATCTGCCTGCTGGGCATTGTAATTACTGGCAAAATCCTCCCAATGGTAAATTACCATAAACAATGGTCCGATTCCTTATGGCAATCTATGGAGGAGGCTTATGTACAGCAATGGACAGATAACCTTTGATATATTGATAATGAGAATAAACGAAAGAAAATATGCATAAATGGTCAACTAATTGTACAGAAAAACAAATTAAAATGCTTACCATTTTCTTTTTCTTTTCCATATTCTGTTTTTTGATCTTTTGCAAATATATCTCCAATGTTGTTTGCCTCATTTGCTTCAAAGTTTCGTGCGTTGATTCCAATTCTGCTTCATCATCGTTATATTCATGAGTAGATAATTCAGGTAATTCAGTGTCTCCTATTGGTTCATTAGTCGCCATATTTTCGTCATTGTAAACTGTATGACGTTTAGCAGATTTTTCCATAACCAACGCTCTTAGAGATTTGCGCGGAGTAAAATCACGACCAAATGTTTGCCGTAACGTTTTTCTCGTAGTCCTATGAGAGTCCCAACCAGATCCCTCTGCACTAGAATTTTTAGTACCATCAGATACACCTGTGCTCTCTCTAAGTAGCGCCATACTCGGTTTTACATTTAGTGGTTTGGTCATACTTTTAGTCATTCTGATACTGGTGTTACGACCTTGTGCAGTGAAAGATTCAATATGATTTGTTTTGTTAGAAAGAATAGCTTCAGGTGATTTTTCTCTTGTTCCAGGTCTCGTGTTGTTTGTCTTAGTTATGTTACAATCTTCAGACGTTTTTTGTTCTGTCTCATTTATTTGTTCTGATTTATCAATTTCCTCTTCTTCTTCATCAGAAGGTATATTTTGTTCTTGGCTTTCATTTTGATCTTCTTCACTTTCATATTGTAGTATTTGATCGTCATGTTTTTCTTCTTCATTTTCTTGAATTTCTTCACTTTTATCCTCAGTTTCGTTTTCATTTTCCATTTCTTCTTCGTCTTCTTGGTTTTCCTCTTCCACCTCCTTGCTGTGATAATTATCGTCTTCATTTTCATCATCCATTTCTTCATCTTCATGACTTTCCTCTTTAGTCGAAGATATATCTTGGTTTCGGCTTCCAGTATGCTTATCTTCGCTTTTATATTGTAAATTTTGATTATCATGATCCTCTTCATCACTTTCTTGGATCTCTTTATTTTCATCCTCAACTTCATTTTCATTATCTACTTCTTCATCTTCTTGGTTTTCCTCTTCCACCTCCTTGTTGTGATAATTATCGACTTCATTTTCATCATCCATTTCTTCATCTTCATGACTTTCCTCTTTAGTCGAAGATATATCTTGATTTTGGCTTCCAGTATGCTCATCTTCGCTTTCATATTGCAAATTTTGATTATCATGATCCTCTTCATCACTTTCTTGGATCTCTTTATTTTCTTCCTCAACTTCATTTTCATTATCTACTTCATCTTCTTGGTTTTCTTCTTGAATCTCCTTACTGTTATAATTATTGGTTTCATTTTCCATTTCTTTTACTTCTTCAGTTTCAGTTCTCGGTTCTTGTTGTTTAACTATATGACTATTATTTTTAATTTCTTTATCATCTTCCGTGTCCACTATTTTGTGAACTTCATCTTTAGTACTAACATTTACATTAGAAACTTTATCACATTTACTATTACCTATATTATTTTCAACACCACCATTATATTTATCTTGAACTGTTTCATTATTTGTGGCGATAATTTTCGTATTATCAACATCTTTTTTTCTATATGTGGTACTAGATTCATCTTTTTTTGAAGTATTTTTGCTAGTTACAATTTCATTAACTTGACCTGACTTTTGACCATTATGAGACATGTTTTGCAATTCTTCATGGTGAGCTTCAAAATGTAGTTCATTAGTTTTCTCAATGTTACTATTAGGTATATTTTTGTTATAATCAGCATTTACACTTCTAGTTTCAGATTCTTTTGCTACAGAAAGTTTGCTTAGCTTGGCTCTCTTCACTGGGGTTTTACCGTTGGCAATCATATTATCTTCCAGTTGATTTTCAACCATTGTGGAAGATGGTAGTAAGTTCCAATCATACATTTCAATATCAGTGGTAATACTGGAGGTTGGTGATATGTCTCTTAGACCGTGAGATGTGGAACTGCTTCGGCGATGTGGTATTTGATCAGATCTTTTTTGAAAACCAAAAACTCTAGGTTGTATGTCAGATATTTCATCTTCACTATCAGACACAATAAAGTCGGCAAATATATTTTTTCGCTTAGTACCTGCTTTGTTGCCAAAAAGATTTCTAACTTGCCCTTTTACTTCAGCTGGTATTATCTCTTTGGTTTTATTAGCTGTTTTATTTGGTGAAATCTTAAGTAGAGCAGCAGGAAATGCAATTTTAGACCTTGGCTTGGAACCCTGTCCAAAAAGAGTTTTTGGTGCAACATTTATTGACTTTTCAAGATTTGTATTAGTTTTATGAAGTTTAGCTTGTGTTTCTCCAGTTTCTATTAGCTGACCAAATCCTTTGTTTGGTTGATTTTCTTTCTGAGTAAAGAGTTTACGTTGTGGAATTACTATGCTGCTTATAGATTCATTGTCACTGCTTTCAGGCAAATCTAAAGTGTAATTCTTTTTTTCTTGGCTGAAATATAAAAATAATTATATAAACTTAATATAGTATATGAATAATACATGTTTTACCTGAGGGCGACTTTGTACAAAAGTCATTTGTTTAGGCACCTTTCTCCCATTCATATTTCTATCGTGAAGCAGTTGTGTTTGCATGGCTGTGTTTCAGTTTGATGGGTGGGTATGCCATATGGCAGTGAATTTACAAGGTACAGAGGAATAACACCTGAGTCCTCAGGTATGGCAACGCATGGAGGGTATCATGGGCGAAACAGTATACTCTGTTATGTCCATGGTACTGCTAATGTTTGTAGGCAATGGTTACCACTTTCTATCAGGTAAGCTGTCAGCTTGTTTATCATTATAAGTTGTATAAAAAAATACATATACCAGTTTGTCATGGTCAAGAGGGTTTTTTAAGTATAAGAAGTATGTGCTTAGTGTTTATGGTAATAAATATTTGGTATTCTTTTATCAAATGTTTAATAGGTATCCATATTAAAAGGTTTGCTTAATTATATAATGATTTGTATTATTGCTGAGATAAGTTTGATATTGATCATGGATATCATTAATTACAATTCATACCTGAGCACTTCAACATCAATGTACTCTTCAACAACATTGTTCAATTGTGCTTCTTTGATATTTATTAAATCAATTACATCTGTTGTATTCTCATTTAGTTTCTTCCACCAGCTTCGACCTGGAATTACAGATATGTCAGTCAACAATTTCATAGTTTTTTTTAAATAATGGACAATAACGAATATCTGTGAAACTGTATAAAATCATGTTGGTTGTGGATTTTGACAATTTATTATTTAGATTTATAGATTTAACCCACAGTTGCATATTTTTTTTTATAATTAATTGAAATCATTACAAAACAACTGATTTGGATTAAATAAAAATCATTTTCTTAGAGGTAAGTAAAATCCAATAAAAAAATATTATTATTATTATATTTTCCCCTGGCATTTTCAATTTTATATAATAGCATACAACTTTTTCAGATTGTAGAGGATGGGATTATTAGTAATAAAGAATAATTAATTGGAATGATTTTTTTGGTAAGTGAAAATGCTTTTATTCTTAACTGATTCATCAACTGAGTGTAGGATGAGTGTATTGCTAACACTGGGGCTGTTGCGCCCCATTACTAACAATCCTTTTCCCCAAATGAGGAGAATACTAATAATATATATTGTCAGGTAGACATTCATGCAGTCCCTACTAAAAATCCTCCTGACTAATCGTTAGTCAATTTGTCACAATAGACCAACCGATTTACTTTCATCCTCATTTATCATTCCTCGCTAGTACCCCACCAGCAGATACCGTTAGCGCAAGCAGGGTGACTGTTTTTTTATTACCTATTAAAAAAATATTTTTTAGTTTATGATTACTATTACTCAAACCTGCTAATAAGTAGGACAACTATTAATAGATTTAATAATATATATATATATATATATATATATATATATTATATATATATATATATATATATATATATATATATATATATATATATATATATATATATACGTCGATGTGCTCAGACGCCTCAAAGCTCGTGTGGAATAAAATTATCCAAAGTGCCTAAAATAAAGTGATATTTTATTACATATGACTGATAATAGGATTTGATTTGTACAATGCTCTAAAACTAATAGTACTAGTTCATTAATTTTACAACCTCGTATATATATATATATATATATATATATATATATGTAAAAAACCAAAGTGCCTAAAATTGAACTTGATGATTTGTACAATGCTCTAAAACAACTAGTTCATTAAATCCTATTATGATTTATGAAGAATAGGGTTTTTATGTCCTTAGCTCTATAAGGTGGACCCTTCAGGCACTAGATTCTTAACAAGGTTTCTATATTTGGAAATAATCATAGGTAATTAAAAAAAATTATTCATAATTATAATTATGATAAAGTAAAGCACTTACATATTAATTTTAATTGAAGATAAACCAATATGGACAGAGGGGGGGGAAAGGGATTGTTAGTAATGGGCTCAGCTCCATTGCTAGCAATATACCCTATCAGGTCGATGTCATTGTGGTTTATTATTGTTAAATTCACTACTATGGACCAACTGACTTGAACTTTCGTCTTCGTCTACCATCTTTCATTGGTGAGTCAATAGTATAGTCATTTTTACCAATTGAAAAAAAATATGAATGGAGGGTATTGCACTACACCAAATACTAGGTTCATAATAATGATTATTCTCATTTTGAGACATTACTTTCATAATTATGTTTTATTTATAATAAATGATCTTAATATATAAAAATCATATCGTCATAGTCGTAGAATACTGACGGATCTATATATGTAATTTTTGTCAGATCCGTCAGTATTCTACGACTATGACGATATGTCACCATGTTCATTCACACTAATTTCTAAAATAACTACTGATTTAAATACAGTTTTGTAAATCATCATATCAGCCACTGCTATAAGGAATAGTCGAGAAGCACCTGCATCCAATGACTCTGCAATCTTGAGGTCATTATTTCATCGAGCCGGATGTTGTTCTACACTGTGTTGGCCTGTTTAAGGTTGCTACTCAAGATTCTTTCTCCCCATTGGTTGTCAATTCTTCGAGCTATGTGTCCAGCTCATTGTCATTTCTGACTGCTTATCCTTCAGGCTGTTTGTTACTTTGGCTCATTTGCAGATATCCTCATTTCATATTTCATTTTGTAAATATGGATTGTTTATTCCAACTTGAGAAATAGGATAGTTTTTATTTATATGTACGCCATTTATTTTATATTCTAAATTTGAGTTTGTAAACATATTAGGGTGTGTGTTATTCTATATATGAATACTTTGAATGAAATTTGTTATTATCTAGGATTAAGATAGAAGATGCATGTTGCGGGTCACGGGTAGTTAGTGGGTAATGATTTTGTAAATTATTTACGAATAATAATTTGTACTCACGTCTTGGTTCATCAATATCTGTATTGTCAGTTAATAAAGATCGCCTGTAGTTCATTGGAGATAGTACAAAAGAGTTCCTGTTTTTCTCTCCGAATTGTATTATTGACGTTAATTTATCAGAGGCGTTGGACGGGGTCGGAGAAGTCACACTACGACTATGGGTCCTACGTGATGTGCGACGTGGAGTGATGCTTCCATGAGAACGCGAAGGTGATGGAATTCTTGTTCTTTGCATGTTTATTATTTGATACCATAAAAAGTGCTTAAAGTATAAACAATACACAGTACTAAGTCTTATTTATTTCACAGTCACTTTAATGTATTTACGCCTCTATAGGGTAAGATACCTTGGTTAGGTTGCATAAATTTGAATTATAATTGACAATTCTAATGAAAGTATAAGTATTGAAAACATGAAAAAAAATTAAGGAGAAAAAACGAAATTCAAAAAGCGTTTGCCGTTAACTTTTTTAAATTCACTCATCCCACAGAGCAAGTAATCTCTCATACTAATACCCACAGATCATGTCCATATTCTGTTCCATTCGTTTTTATTCGTCCATAGATACAGAGTAATGAATGATAAAGTATCCGTCAATGGTCATGTTAGTAGAAGAATTGGCAAAAATAGAGTTAATCCGTTTTCTTTGCCTAACATGTATCAATATATGAGTCTCATATTATGAGGGATTTACTTAAATTTATAATGTATATGGGGTTTATAATGGTAGATTACATTTGGGTAAGTACTTATATTACGTAAAGAATTAATAAGTGCTAAAAAGTGACAGTGAGAATTATTTATATGTTTTTAATAGATTTTAAGTTTGTAGAAAAACTAAAGAAGCTCTTTTTAAACGAGTTATAAAATTTCAATACTCATATACTTAGGTATATAGTTCAGTCACTGAAAGTGAAATAAAGATGGCGCCGTTATAGTATAGCCCTTTATACTTTAGTTCATAGATTGAGGATTTTGCTTTTAAGTTTACGGCACAGTTGCTTTAAATGTATAAGAGAAAGACTTTTTTACTTCAAATGAAAATAATAAGAAGCTATATATTTACATGTTTAATTATTAAATAATTTTGTTAATTATATGCGTGGAAAAATTTGGTACTTATTTACCATTTATAATATTTATTTACTTACTGTTTATATTTAAGATCTATTTGCCATCAGATAAGCTTAATGCTTGTTTGTTTTTATAATGTTATGTAGTAAACTGATATTTTTGAAAGCGGGTTAAAAAATAATACCTGAACGTGAAAGTTTTATTCCGCTAACCATGTTACAATCTAAGAACAAGGAATTACATACGAGTAATTAAATTGTTAATTCATTACATACGAGTAATTAAATTGTTAATTCATAGCAGGCTAGTGTATAAATAAAACATTATTTATATGGATGGAGGGATTGGTAGTAATGAAATCCAACAGATCTATTACAAGCAATATACCCTATCAGGTCGATCTTCACGCGGTTCCCCCTGGAAACCATCGCAATTAATTTTTCATGAATTCATCGTGATTGAATCACGATTGTCCAACTAATGTTAGCATTTTTACATTTAGAATACTAATATTTTATTATATTTGTATCATAACTGTTGGTCAAGTGCTACCGTTGCTGATTTGATTTACCTTTCAAATAGTGCTTAGTCATATCCGTAATAATTACCCGCCAAAAATAGTCAATACAAGCTAGAAGTAACGACCAACAGTTGACAGTTGTTGATTGAACATCGACCAGTAAAGACGTATAATTTGATAATTCGCTTTAATACAAATGTATTTAGATTGTAAAGTTGTGGATCTGTTAATACATGAATTGGATTCCCCTACAGTGACACGAGTTTTATTCTGTAACCACCGACTTTTTAAACTAACCTCACTTATCATCCTTTACAGGTGCCAGTGTATCCCGATACCGCAGGCTAGGCGGGGTTACCATTCCATTTTCATCCATTAAAAAAAGCCTACCTCACATATGGAGTTAGGTATCATTACTTGCATTTTGGCTAGTTCAATGAACTTTCAGTGTTCTGTTGTCCTGTATGTCCCATATATATACATATTCCTACGCTACAAGTTTGACAGTTGACAAATTAGCAAACAAGCACGCAATGTGTGACAATTTGTACACACTAACTGATTAGACAAGTTTAAATACTACCAGCATGTTGCCATTATTATTAGTTTAGCGACTATACACTCGAGCATAAACTTTATAATAATTACTTTAGAAGAGTATATATGTACTTGACTTTAATTATTTTGTTATAAATGGAAAATAATCTTCGAAACAGCTCTACCGATTTTAATGTATTTTTGTTAATGGGATTAGGGTTTGTAATGGGTGATAATGGAATGGTAACCCCACCAGCGCTATTGGTATACACCGGCAGGGCACCAGTGAGAGATGATAGGTGAGAATGAAGCAGGTCAGTAAGCCTATTGTGACGAATTCAACAAGAATTGTTCACGATGGTTTCTAGGGGGAACCACGTGGAGGTCGACCTGATAGGGCATATTGTTAGCAATGTTAAACTCCATTGCTAACAATCCCTTTCCCTCCATGGGATTAGGGTTACTTTTATCTTGATAAAATAATTGTATAAGATGACCACTGGAAATAATTGTGATCAATGCTTAGTGTATTCCTTATGATGGGGCAACTGAGCTGATTGTTTCATTCTCTGCTGGTGATTTATGGCTGGACATCATTATCAGGTTGAGGGACGGGCAGTATCGTTCTTCATAAAATATCTTTAAAAGCCTAACTGCGGTTGCCAACCCGCCTACCAAACGTGGCAACTATTGACAAAACCCCCCTTATGGGGAAGGATTATGTTCTGCAGTAATTCTCCACTGCTGTCCACATATGGCTGAAATAATAATTAACATAGGTGGGTGCGTAATATTATCTTCATGTATAGAAATACCAAAGATAAATCAAATTTGAATACGTCAATCATAGTATAATGTACTCGCATAAGACGTCAGTAGTCTACAATTACCCCAAGCTCCCCTAACGCCACGTTTTATCATCAACCACACCTCCATTTTATGATCAACGGATGATATATGTAAATAAAACTGTATAATTTATATTATTTATATTTAGTAGCTATATACTTATACATACTACATATATTATATATAAGTATGTAGCGTAATTGGTAAGTTTTTTATTTTTTTTTTATTTGGTCAAAATGGCACGGTAACCCCGCCTGCACTATCGGTATACGCTGGCGGGGCACCAGTGAGGGATGATAGGTAAGGATGAAAAGGCAGGTCAGTTAGCTCATTGTGACGAATTTAATGATAAATTTGTCACGATAATTTCCAGGGGGAACCGCATGGAGGTCGACCTGATAGGGTACATTGATAGCAACGGGGACTACCCTGCCAATTACTAACAATCCCTTCCCCCCATTGGTAAGTGGTTAGTAATGGGGCTATTTCATCCCATTACTAACAATCCCTTCTCTCTCCGCAGTAGGATATTGACTGACTAGTTAACGCCTTGATGAAATTATTTGATCTAGCGATATGAAAGTAGTAGGTATAAATTTTTAGACTTAGTATTTAGAATGTGAGCATTATAAATTCCCGAAATTTCAACGATAGTGGAAGTCATAAGACGATAAATTTAACTTTGTCGAAGTCGCGGTAAACAGCTATTTCATTCATAGACAATTGTTAAAAGTTGTTGAGTTAAAAAAATATATAATTTCGGTGCAGCGTCTTGTTGTTTTTAATATTATATATGCGATAAGAATATACTAATAATGTAAAATACTATAAGATTGTGGTCCACAAAAAAAAAAAAAACAAAAATTACTCCAGTTATTGCAAAATCATTAATTTTAATTTAGATTTAATAATAAAACTATTGAACATATTTTGATAACATTTCTATGGGACTAATCTCTAAAGACTGATTTCTCTCTCTTTCTTTCAGATAAAAAAAAATCAAAACGGTTTATATATAACTAAGGAAATTATGAGGTAATAAACAAAAAAAAAAAACAAAAAAATATAACTGAATTGTGAATCTCCTTCTTTTTAAAGCATTTTGTTAAATATGAAAGTTTCTAAACATATTTAAGTGTAATCACTATTAAATGGATTTGAATGAAAGTTGTAAACCGATATATCTCGTGGGATACTTATAATTTACGCGGATAAAATCATAGGATTCGACTTGTAGTAAATATCTGAGGGCCTACCATGAAATGTTTTCCGAAATTTCGGAACCGAACAAAACACAAGTTTGATGTTAAAATTACATAATACTTACAGTTTAAAAACATTAAAAATAATAAAATATTATTCCTTTGGACTTTTATGGTAGGATTTGTGACGAACGAAATGTTAATCTCCATTTACTGGGCCGTATTAGGTTTGAACGAAAACACGAAATTGAGTCCGAAACTTCTGAATTTCATTTCATGGTAGGCCCTCTGGTTTAATACGGCACACCGATATTAGATATGTGGGCAATATTGTATTGTTCAATTTGCTTTCTGAGTCTCTGGAATAGAGCAAAATCGAAACCTATACGGATAAAACCGCAAGTAAAGGCTTGTTTAAAAATGAAGCTAAGTTGACAACAAACAATTTTGTTGCTTATTTAAGGCTATGTACACAATGAAGAGACTGGTTAAGCTTCACTATAGATATGACGAGTTTGATCTAAACGCGTGTTTGCATTGACAACAATAAAAGAGAGATGTTACGTATTATTACGGTAGTTTATTATTATATTCACATCAAAGTGCCGTGTGACGATGTCTAAGAATATGGATTTGATTGACGCCGAACCACGACCTTCGCCTACGGTCTGTATTTATTATTTTTATTTTTTTATAAATGAAGCAACGAAGTAATTCAAACTAAAAGTTACGCCATTCAAACAGCCCTGTTTCTTGTTGCTATGCCTCATGCACGTGCTAAGATACAGGCTGATAAAACAAATACGGAAGTTAAAAAATATATTGTTTTCAATATTAAACCGATAAGCTTTGTATGTCAGAGATTTCACTTCAATAAGAAGCAATAAAGTATATAATGCTTAAGGGCATTGATGACATTGAGGTCGATTTTTTATTGGTGATAATGGAATGGTAACCCCGTCGGTATTATTGGTATACGTTGGCGGGGTAACAGTGTGTGATGAATTGGTAAGGATGAAAATAAGTCAGTTGGCTCATTTTGATGAATTCAACAAGAATTAACCACAATGATTTCCAGGCATAACCACGTGGAGGTCGACCTGACAGGGTATATTGCTAGCAATGGCGCTGTTGAACACTATCACTAACAATCTCTTTCCCTCCCGTTGAGGTCGATAATCAAACCCATTCCTTATCTCTATCTCTTAAACTAAAATTTCAGTTTGATGTTATAATGAAATTAATATTCCAAGGACCAATATAAATTAAGTTTATAAGAGAATTGAGTCAGAACCACTTTACATTTAGTTCTCCTAACATAATAGTTTCGATGAATTATTAAACTGAAATTTTAATTTAATAATTTATTTAAGGACTGCCAATAAAGCATACACTTACTCGTATATTAACTTAAAACACATGATATGGTTACATTATAAAATTTTAATGACAAATTTAGATAATGGCAACTCAGAATCGACATATGTACATTGTTATATTATATGTCACAGGACATATAACAATGTGTGAACACCATTGTTACTTCAAAAATTATGTCTATTAATTTTTTTTTGTGTATTAAGAAATATTATGAAGTGTAATATTTGATATGATGTAGCACAGTATAGTCCATAAAGTCTATGTATGAACGCGACGGTTATAATTTCACCAATAATTTGTTTGTTTGTTTATAATATATATATATATATATTATAATATATATATATATATATATATATATATATATATATATATATATATATAATGATTTATAATTTATGTAAATATTTATTTTAACTTCTGTTTAGCACTACTACTGCCCACTCACTACTTCCTATGCCACTGTGTTAGGTTCTAAAAAACTATTCTTTATTCTGTATATTATATATATAGAGAGTTATATATAGTTATATTATATATAAGAATAGTTTTTTTTTATATTAGTATTGAACGCATTTGACTATAATCTCATCTGATCTTAAGTGACGATAAGGTCTAAGGTTTTTATTTTATTATTGAGAGACGGACTTTAGAAAACCTGTAACACTGCGACCTCTGTGATCTTTTATGCTTGCCCTTTTATAATATTAAAGTTTGCTGTGAATTCTTTTTAGTGATAGAAGTTTTAAGATGTTCTTAGCAGCGATATTTTTATCTCCTCAGGATATAAAGTATATTTTCCAATGGAGATATATCGTTTATGTATGAGTGGGCTACAATCACAAATTAGGTGCTGTGTCGCTTCTTTCTCATGTGGCAAAATTGGTAAACAGTTTTTGGGCTTAAGTTTAGTTGGGCCCTGTGTTTATTTAGTTTACGATATCTAGTAAGAGCCTTTGTTAATATACAAATACATATTATTTTTATTTAAACGAGTTAATTTCATTGAGTATTTTTCTAAAAAAAAAACACACTTAATCAGGGTCTTTAAATGACTTAGTCCTAACAATAAGAGCCATCTATTATTTACTGCTTTTAAGTTTTCAAGTTTGAGATGTCTAAGCTTTAGGTAGATATAACCGCAATAAGATTCTGGTCTTATTTGGGTCTTCTTTGGTCCTTCCTTTGCTAATTGGTCAGCTGTTTAATTTCCATGAATATTTGAGTAACCAGGGATCCATCCCAAGTTATTATTATTTGAGCTGCCCAAGTCATTTAATTACATTATGCAGGTCTAAAGTAACACGCAAACTCAAATAATAATAACACTTTTATTGCATAACCATGATTGTAACAAACTCAGCACTGGAAATTACAGTAAAAGTAGGTACGAATATATTTTTCCCATAGTCCAAGATATTTAATTACATGCAAGTCTATAGTAACATGCAAACTCAAATAGAAATGTAATGTACTATAATGTAAATAATTATATTTTATATATCCTTTCGAGACAGTCAACAATTTCAGTTAAAAAATTTCATTCAGAATATGAGAAAATAGGGTTTACTTGCAAATAATAGTATGCTGTGGTAAAATAAGGAGATACAGTCAGATAAAAGATGTAAAAAAATTTAAGTATGAAATCACATGGTTCCGTTTTAGAAATTTTGTGGATAAGGGACTTTGTTATGTTTTCCAGACGTGACGAAATGCAAAATTTCAAAAATCTGATCGTTAAACTTAATAAATCAAGTTCGCAAATTTTTAAAAATTTATGTCGTTCTATTATTGTTTCTTACAATAATAACAGTTGTAATGAACAATTACAGAGAGGTTTTGTATTAAAGTCATCTATATACCTCTGCCCCACTCGTGTTTTTGCTGTGATGTAACTGTGTTGGCAGTACCCTGGTGACCCGCTCCCGTATACCGATAATAAAGGCGGGGTTACCATTCCATTACTGCCTATAAACCACATTACTAACTTACCTTTTTTCTGGTAATCGGATATAAATACTGAAATACAATAGTGGCAATACTTTTCCTGAGTACCTATAGCGCTGTAGGTTAACCTTTTTATGACTTCGAATACTCAATTTAGCACAGTTGATGCCGACAATTGTAGTAGCAGGGCAGGAGTTAAATCGAGTTTGTCTACATAAGTCAAAGAGATTGTATGCAAGACACGTTCGTGGGCTTAGGTTGAAATGTATCGCTTTGTTACACCAGCTGTGTTCAAGTTGCGGCCCGTGACGTCTTTAGTTTATAGCATTATAATCATGTATAACTAATTAAATGTCTATGGCTGGATTATAACTTGTAGTAGGCACCAACGTAACAGTATTATTGAAATAAAATAAACATATTAACATTTAAAATTAATAGATCGATTATAATTGCTTTCAACATTAAGGCCGCTATGTTGCGTTCATGTCAATTGTATATATATATGCGAAACTGTTATTTCTATTTAAATAATTGTATGTTACAAATAAAGTACTTTTTCTTTGTAGGGATTGTTGCTATTCGTACAATTGATGTAATAAAAGATATTGATTTAAATGTAATACTTAATTATTTATTCCCAAAGAGGGTTGACATCAGGTAGGCGGCCGGTCTTAAAACTATAAGTCAAATCCTTTAGTAATATGGATGAAACCATATTACGCCGACCCCAAATAATAATTGGGATAAGGGTAGAAAGATGATGATGACTTAATTATTTATTCACGGAATATAATTGTTAATGTCTGATAAATGACGCCTGACTTAATAATAATATACAATAAAGGAATCAGCGGCGGAACGATGCTACTGCTGAATTGACCGTCTATGGATGACTTTACGCTTTCTCTAAAACTACGGCCTAAGGATAAAAAGTTGTGCAGGACTGGACTCTATGAAATTCATGCCGTCTCTCCGTAAGGTGCTCTTATTCAGCTAGATATGTTAATTTTATGGTTCAATTCGATACAGCTCGCACATTCGTCATTTGTCTTAATAAATATGCGATCAATAATTCATTTAAGTGGTAGATATTGAAATAATCAAGTAAGTACTAAAGAATGTATTATTAACTAACTAGCTATATCCTGTGTCTTCGCTCGTGTAAACCAGTACATAAAGTACCCACATATATAATCTACCCATGTACAAAGTTTCATTCAAATCCGTATTTAACAATTTCTTCCCCCTTGAATATAGATGCTGTAATTAATGTTGTCACGTTGGCGCAGGCGGTTACCATTCTATTATCATCCATTAAAGAAAAAACTCCCTGTAATACCGTGATTACCACTTTCTATTAGATAGGTCGTTAGCTTGTTTGCTTTTTTAAGTATTATATAATAAAAAAATATTCGGATTATCTATTAAGGAGTTATCTTAAACTACTTCTGTTCAGGGTCGCAACTTAAGAACCCATATTGTGTACTTATAAGTAATGCAAATAAATTATCTATCTATCTATCCATATTTCCGATTGGTGAAGTAAGACAATCTTCGCAACAATGGCGAGAAAAAATAGTATTTAGGAAAGAAATAGGTATTATGTGAGATTGTTAAATAAAGGCTATTATTATTCCTCACCGGTTATCGGATCTGCGAAATATAAGGTCGGTCCATTGCTACTTTTGCTTTATATTTATCCTTCAGATTATAGCAATCACTTTGTTGTTCTGTGATCTTGATTTCGAATTATATCACGCAAAACTCTACCAATAACTTGCTGAGTAATCAAGGTGCTAAGCATATTGTACCTACTAAATATTTTCAACTTGTATAGTGCTTTATATTTATTTTTAGTTTTAATATTAGAGATAAGAAGAAGTATATACTTCATCATAAATCATCCATCAATTTATTTAAATAATACTCAATTGGATGAAAAGGTTCTATTTCTCAGGAAAATGAATGAAGTTTCACCAAAGCTATTACTGACTCTTGAAATTCTTTACGAGAATTTAAAGGCAAAATCTTTTATGTATAAGATAAATACCTATATATAAATTTCCTTTCTTTCCTTTCCCGTGGGTGTCGTAAGAGGCGACTAAGGGAACTTAGTGATTGAGGGATGGGCAACAGACTCTCTCTTAAAACATCATCAAAGCCTAGCTGCGTTTGCCAACACGCTTACTAAGCGTGGTAAACTGGCAGTGCTCCCCTTATGTGGAAGGCCTAATGTTCACTAGTGGACAGTTAACGGTTGATATAAAAATGTATATTTTTAATATGAATTTACTTTTTAGTTACCAATATTTTAATATTATTGTAATACTTTGGCTTGTTGCTAGTTATTTCATTAATAAAACTCGTATGGTTACGAAGCAAGAATACAATTAGACATACCCTATATATGGTATATAATGGGAATTTTGTAAACGTACTATGTCCTTTCCGACAATTGTTTATTTCGGCTTCATCCGGACATCTTCTTCAGGGAGCGTACGGCCCCTTTGCGTCACAGCGTCTCATTTTGCACTGACGTAACTGCATAAAATTCCCGTTATACATACTCGTATAGGTATGTATATAGACAATGTTAAAAAATATAACTTTTATATATAAACATTAGCATCTTGTTAAGAGAGAGAGTTCTACATCGTTTTATCAGAGAAATTGAATATTTTCACTAAACAAATATGAGTGGACACAATTTTGTAAGCTTCCTGTTCAAACGCGGCGTACTCTCTGAAATAGGAGACTATCATATGAGTACGTAATCCTTTATAAGAACTTACATGAATTAGTTATTATAACAAAGGGTACCTCTTAAATTACAACCCTCCAGGAAGTTTTGTAAATTGAGCTGTCTCCCTTGTCCTCTGTTAGCCAATTTAGATCGTACTATTTTTTTCCTTTTTTTACCATTTTACGCAAGTATCATACTTGCTTAAAATGGCAAACAAGCTGACGACCCACCTGATGATAGAAAGGGGCAACCGTAGTTTATAGACATGACTAGCACTATGCTTATCATACACTATACATGGTGCTTCTTATGTGTGAGCTGATTATAAGGACTATTATGTTATAGGCAAAACTGCCTATAATTTTATTATCATATTTCACCCTTTAAACCTAAACGCAGTTGTTTCCCGTCAGTAATATGAGAGGCGATTTTTGTAGAGAATCTCGTTTAGATAAATTATTTATTTATGGTTATTTCATTTCAGGCCAAGGACAAATTTCCAAGGGTAGTAATTATTATCATCTTAGCCGAATTTTGTGAACGTTTTTCCTATTCTGGTATGAGAGGTAAGAAGACGATCGTTAAAATATTGCTCTTAGTTGACAGTTCCTTGTTTGCATCTAGATAACAGAATCGCACCTCTGTATTTAATGATTAAATATTTTAATTTCAATTTAATATTCATCCATGTTAAAGATGTTACTTTTATAAAAAAAAAAATATAACTATGCAGTGAAAAGATTTTTTTTTTAGAAAATTAGGGCTTGGGGCGATGCCCACATTTTAATCTATTATCTAATTTCTTTTAGATTCTAAATCAATGTTATGGGTTATGAATACTCCACATTAGCATAGATAATATTATACACGTATTGGTGGCAACAACAATAGTGTTTGATACGATAAGGGATATTGACAATGCTTATGCAATCAAAACAGCAATGTATTTTATGTTGATTATTGCAAAATGAATCCTATTAGCATAATTAGTTACGTAAATTGTTTCCGACCAAATTGGCGTAGATGAAAATGTGAAATTTTACTTTATATATGTATATTTTAACTAGCTGAACCAGGAAACGTTTTGTCATTTACCATTATCTATTGGGTCACTTTTTCTTTCTGGAATAAAAACTATATATATATACTTTTTAGTTAGACATTTTCAAATCTTATTAAAATCGTGAACAAGCATGGCGATTTGTATATATAAATATAATTGTATTGCTTGAATGACAGACCATATGTTTTTCAAAATATGGGTCTGTCCATCTATTATAATAAGTTATAAAAGTCCTACTATTAGTTACGGGTTTTTCCTCGTGACAGTACATTTCGCCTGTAGGTAAAATTATCTTTTGTATAAGCCGTGTATTTGGAAAACTTGTCTATGTTGTGGTTTGCAATTTTAGAACTTTTTTATGGTCGGACTAACACTTGTATTTTCTCTAAGGTTTGGTTCTTATTAAACTTAAAGGTCTGGGATGATAAGGCAAATATAAAGGGAAATTTTGACCTTATTGAGTGGCTTAGTATAGGCTTTAATATCGAGTTTTCTTATTCTTATGCAGTGGTTTGTGATATTTAAATTTTGTTTCTATTTCAGCATTTCTTACGCTTTATTTGCGTAGCAAATTGGGCTATTCCGACGACGGTGCGACGGAAACATATCACATTTTTAGCACTTTAGTCTATCTGTTTCCTATTATTGGGGGTATTTTAGCTGATAACTATTTGGGGAAATTCAGGTAATTGCTGTTGAAATTATTAAATATAATTTAGGAATTGGATAAACGTATTATAGAAAGTACTGTTAATTGTTTGAAATGTAATATAAAATTGATCGTTTATGATGTTCATTTTTATATAATTTTATTTAATATCTATGTATCTAATTTTTTTAAAAAATTTTCTAGGACGATCCTGTACTTGATGTTTGTTTATGCAGCAGGTAACATTTTGGTTGCTATCACCGCTATACCTCAGCTGGCGCTACCTGGCCGGTAAGTGTCGAATAAAAAAATTAAAATTAGAAAATAGAATAAATGGGTACTTATTTGAGAAGAATTTTTTATAAACATTCTTTTTATAATCGAAAATATACATCGTATCAGCCATCAATGACTGTCAAAATTGTTTATCAGAATATAATTACGAAAGTACTAGTGTAAAAAATTGATTTATTTTTCATTTAGACCATCTTAAATATAGGTATCTATCTATTTATAAAACTAATACAATAAATTTCTAATAAGAGTTTTCTTCATGGGAATATAGTAGGAATTTCTTTAAAAAGCCTTTAATAACTAGGTTTCTTAAAATTAGGAAATCTGCATGCAATGCCTCCGTCCTCGTGTGTCGAACATTCATAGGATACACTAACCAAATATGTATCATTGGGCGGGTCGTATGTTTATTTATTTATTCATAGAAATAAGTAGGCAAATTGATAACCACAGTTAGGATTTGGTGATGTTTTAAGAGGGACGCTACTGCTCTTGTCTCGACTAAGTTAATTTAATTAATAGTTCCTTTAATCGCCTCTTACGACACCTACGGGAAAGGAAGAGATGACACATTCTATTCCCGAACCACACGGCAAATTCATAGAAACACCAACAGCATATGTTCGTTCGATAACTTGACATTATATAAAAAAATGTTCTATATTTTTACAGATTATGCACTTTACTTGGACTTTTCATGATAACGATAGGCACCGGAGGCATAAAACCTTGTGTCACGGCGTTCGGAGGGGATCAATTTAAATTTCCTGAGCAAGAGCATCACCTTGCCATATATTTTAGCATACTGTATTTTAATGTGGGCACTGGGAGTCTCATAGCTAAAACCATGTCACCAATACTCAGATCCGAAGTGCATTGTTTTGGTGATAAGGACTGTTATTCACTGGCGTTTGGAGCACCAAGCATAGTCGTCCTTATATCTATAGGTGAGTTCAATTTTTTTAGTTTACAAAAAGGCCTAGGTATGACAATATCTATGATCTTAAGTCATAAATGTTTAGATGGATTAAAAAAAGGGCTAGTCAACTGTTTAGGGACACAGTTTACTTCTTACAGTATGAAAATTTAAAAGTATAGCATTGATAACTAATTAAATTGATGGTTTATGCAATAAAAGTTATAAGATTAATATAATTTCATACTTTCCAGAAAGAGTAGATTTTTTAAAGTTCTTTTTGTTCTGTTACTAGAGAGACCAAATGTTATTATTGATCGATATACAAATAAATGTAATAGCACACTCCGGACACCTCATATAAAAAGTCCACGATCCGTGATTGTCACTACGACAGAAACAAGTAAGATACGAATATGTACAATAATGTACATGCGACAATGACTGCGTGTGTAGTTAGGGATAGCGCGGAAAAAGCACGCACTTCGATTTATTGTATATTGAATTTTGAACTATGACGCTATCCTCTTAACTCGTCGTCGATATATATATATATCGTGAATATTGTATATATTCTATCCTTTTCTGACATCAGCGACTATTGAAGCGTAGACTAGAGGCATCCATTAGAGTAGTGATGCGTGGTAGGTGACGCGTGTTTGAAAGGGAATGAGGTTAGATTGCCGTGGCAGGGAATGTTCATACTATAATTTAGTACCATTATTTGTACTGTGATAATAGTTATAAGGGATAACTTTAACCATTTAAACCATTAACTGTCCATTGCTGAATATAGACTTCTCCCATAAAGGGCTACCGCAATAAGGCTTTATTGATTTTTTAAGAAAGACGTTTTTAACCATTAAGTTCCCTTAGTAGCCTTTTACAATACTTACGGGAAAGTAACGGTGGCCTATTCTATGCCGGGACCATACGGTAACAGTTACTACTTAATGAAAATTAAATTTTGAACTTTAAGGTTGAAAGGCGTGCTAATCACTAGACTACTAAGTTACATGAACGTTTCAAGAACATTTAGTATAAATGATAAATTCTTAGATCGTTGAACTCTTGTCAAAAGGTGTACTTTATGATTGTTTTTTTAAACAATATCTAGTAAGAACTAGTAAGTACGTGTATCAAAACAGGATAAAATAATAAAATTCTTGTAATAACACTCACTGATGTTATCTCTACTTGTTTGCTGATCAACGTAATTAAATGTGATGCATCTATTTTGAGTTACTCTATTTATTTTCGTTTCACACAGCTATTTTCTATTCGTTTCCATTGTGTTATTTATAATATGTATGCCTATGTTTACTAAGTACATAAATAAAATAAATATACCTTAACCTTCACATGAGTTCTTATGATATGTTTACGTAAATTTTCCATAATGTTGAGTTTGTTATTTATATAATATTATTTATATATTACTTCGTAAACAAATTAAAATTTTTTATAATATTTCCATTTGTTTTTTTTTAAATAGACATTTGTACTTTGGGCCACTTATCGGTCGTTTATATATATATGGAAACGTCTAAAATACCAGGGAACAATTTGCACATTTATAGTTTTATTTATAATAATGGTTTTACTTATATTATAAATGGGATAGAAAGTTTGTTTCTTATTTCTTGGCTAAGAGTCATAAAATTTGGTATACATCTTAGATTATACAGATAGAGCATCGAGTCCCAAAAACGGGTCGATCTTTTTGTCAGCTAATTGCTAATTATCGTTTTTTTATCAGTATTAAACTTACGCTTAATATGTATTTTGACGTATCTATATTTAATTATTTAATAATTAATAGTTTAGTATAAATAAAAAAAAAGTTTTTGTGCATTAACTAAAAATTATAAAACAAAATAAATAGAGAAGTTATAAAGGAAACAATTATTTATCACGCAAACTTGTATGAAAAAGTTGACCGCTTTTCTGAAGCATTTGTATGGATACTCTCTATCTATATAACCTAAGGTGTGCATCTATATTCGGAACAGAGAAATATAGACTTATTAATTGACACATCTCGGTCACGCGGACAAAGTCGCAAGTAAAATTAGTACGAACTGCTTTCTTCTTTCCTAACAGGGATCTAAATAACTAGTCTGGCCATAAATATTGTTGCATAAAAACTTTTCTTTTATTAACTTTTTAATTATTTTGAATTTGGAACACTTTTATTATTTTGAAAACTTCTTTCGATTTTTTCGTATTCATTATCAAATTACAATATGGAATGGGATGTTAAAGAAAATAGGATTGCAGTGATCGCCTTGCATAAAATGGCCATCAATCATATTCCAGACACTTCAAAAGCTTGGTCTAGTCTATTCTAGTATAGTTAATTATATAAAAGTAAAAACGTTTTAATTCCGTATTAAAATTTTTATTAGAATCAAAAATTATATCTATTTTTTAAATGCTTATTACCAGAAAAGAATATATACTTAATTAAATAAATAATTAGTAATATATTGCCCGATAAATCAAAATATCCATTTATATTATTTTTTTTTCCCTTGGTAAACAATGCACTATACTGCATAAGTTATATGTACAATATGTATAAGAGTTTATTACACTGCGGTATAATTTTGACTACATCTTATTTACATAGATTATTTATATTTTCAGTGATATTCGTCAGTGCAAAGAGCAGATATGTGATGAAAAAACCAGAAGGCAATATTGTTTTAGATTTTATAAAGTGTATTTCTGTAAGTAGTCATTTATTATTCAGGACTAAGTATTATATACATATATCTATCTAGAACTTGCTGTATATATTTCTTAGTAGAATGATTAAAACAAAAAAAGAAAAGAATTATTTTGACATTACTTTGAGTTTATTTACATAAAAGCCTAGAGTTCCATTCTTAATCGGCCTTTTTAGAAAATGAACTTTAGACAATGGACTCAAGTCGAGACGCTTACTTAATCTAACGAAACAATTTTAGTTTAATCGTATCTAAAAAAATAATAATTCAACTACTTTTTAAATCAATAATTTTGTTGTAAAAGCATCAAATGGAAATTTAATACGTTACTAGTAATTATTGATTCACATGATCAATCAATTTTGTATTGATTTTAATAAAGTTATGCTTATTAAAAATTTTTAACACTTTCGTATTTGCTTAGACACTTTGCATGTATTATATTTTGTAGTTAGGTTTGAAAAATGTTGCTCTAAGACGAAATGTGAATGAAAAAGGTGGGCATTGGTTGGACAGCACCCGAGTTCAATATGACCAGAGGTTTATAAGGGATATCAAGAAGACGTTGTCTGTACTCAAGCTATTTACTGTCACGCCTATCTTTTGGGCTTTGCTTGATCAGATGGTAAGTAAACATTTATATTTATATTTTACAATTTCTTATGGTTTTGTGAAAAGTATCCTATGTACTTTTAAGATAGGATATAATCTACTCATATATCTAATTTCATTTAAAGAGTAACATCCATACATTCAGTGCTGTGTGCTCTTTCTTTGCCGTGGGTGTCGTAAAAAGCGACTAAGGAAAGGTGAGGGATGGGCAACAGCATCTTTCTTAAAACATCTCCAAATCCCAACTGCGGTTGCCAATCCGCTTACCAAGCATGGCAACTACTAGCAAAATCACCCAAGAGGGAGGTTTATGTTCAACGGTGGACAGTTAAAAGCTGATAGAATGATGATTTTGACATTCATAATACCCCTCATACCAATTTTGGTATGGAGGTTTTGATAATAGTTGCCACGCTTGGCAGGCGGGTTGGCAATCATAGACTTTGATGACGTTTTAAAAGGGACACTGCTGTCCACACCTCGACCGTTGATCGCTTCTTACGACACTCATTGGAAAGGAAGGGGTAGCCCATTCTACGCTGGGACCTACACGGCATAGAATGGGCCACTATTTTTACTTTAATTTACTTCTAAATGTATAAAATATACAGGGATCAAGATGGACACTGCAAGCTACAAAACTGGACGGTAGATTTGGCTTTTTGACAATTAAACCTGATCAGATGCAAGTGCTGAACCCTATATTCGTATTAACATTGATACCAATCACTCAAAAGGTAAGCATATAATCATATACTCGTAAATGGTTACTCTAATCTATGGACTTAGATATTTTTAGAAAATATTTAAGTTTAATGCACTCTTTATTTTTTATTAATTAATTTCTTTTTTTTTAGTTTCATTCGAATATTGTTATATTTTTCTTAATGATAATTTTAGTTTTCTCTTGAAAATTTGCAATAATAGACATAATCTTACCTTTATAAAGAATTAATATCTTGTTTCTTTCCAGTATATTTATCCATTCCTTGAAAAAAGGAATATACTAAAGAATCCTCTTCATAAGTTGACTTTGGGCGGGATATTAGCTGGACTCGCCTTTATAGTATCGGGCTTGGTTGAAATTTATATAAGTGTAAGTTGACTCTTTGAACTATTAATTTTATATCAGACTAACTGTAACCTGTGGCTTCGCCCGCGTATAAAAAATAATATAAAATGTCTCTAGAAGTTAGAATATAACTTTTACGTTTACTCAATTTTATTTAATCCCTTCAGTGCGTGAAAGAGAAACGTTCATAAATTCATTTACCGTCGCATTAATAAAAAATAGAAGGACATAATATAAATTTTCTTCTTTTAAACCATTAAGTCCATTGCTTGGGTACCTCTGTCCCATTCGTGTTTCTACCGTGAAGCAGTTGTTTGTATGGCTGTGTTTCGGTTTGAAAGGTGGTTTGAAGGGTGGACGGTTACCACTTTCCATCAGGTGGGCCGTCAGCTTGTTTGCCATTTTAAGTTGTATAAAAATAAAAAAATAAATAAATAATCATTTATGTATAACATCTAAATCTTCTGAAAGTGCAACGCATGGGAAATACCATGTGCGTCATAATAGGTATATGTTGTAATATCTATGGTAGTAACATTAGTATCATGCATATCACAATATTCATATGAATGATATCATTGTCATTGTATCGGCCATTAAATCCACTGATGAACATGTCTCCCATTTATAATGAGTTGCCACGTTTAGAAGGCTTTAGTAACGTTTTAAGATATAAATTAATTTCTTAGTCGCCTCTTACGACACTTGGGAAATAAACCCATTTTATGATGGGACCACACGGCATATATTAATTATTTATTAACGATATTTTCTATCATATGGGCAGTTAGTTTGTCTTCGTGTCTGAAACTAAATTTAAAAAATGAAGACAAACTGAAGAAGAAAATAATTGCATATTTTTCACAATTAACACTCGTATAATTTGCGTAACAACATTATATATTTTACATTTATTTTTAATATGATTAATAAAATTTATAAAATATTATTAAATTTTTTAGGACATATAGCAGATATTTTATATATTTATATTCATATTAAGTTTCCAATGGGGCAGGGAGAGAACTGAGTCCAGAAGTTTTCGCTTTATTCAATTTCAGACATAAAATTTATCTCATTGCATATACATGCCGGTTTGGGAGAGACTTTTAATTTTTTTTCAGTACATAGTCTGTCAGATCATGAAAGGTTAGCGTTAGGGCTTCTCAAGGATTATATGATACTAATCCTAAGATTAATATATAATCTGTGTATCAAATTTCGTTCAAATTCGTTCAGTAGTTTTAATGTGAAAGAGTAACAAACACCCATCCATTCTTTTCACATTTATGATATTAATTGGATAATAGGATAGGTTCTTATTATGAATTTACTTTTAGACAAAATATCCGGTACTTCCTAAAGCAGGTTATGCACAACTTCGATTGTTCAATGGGAACCAATGTTTTATATCTCTGCATAATGACCATCACAATATAACTTATACCATTCCACCTCTTTCACATTTTTCGAAGAAGGATATACGTGTGAAAGGTGTAGAGAATATTAATTTCGAGTTGGCGGGTAGTTGCATACAACCAACGGAAAAGATTTTAAATTTGGAAGAGAATCGTGCTAACTCTTTTTTTTTGAGTGGTAATCACATTCACAGCTTTAAAGACAATGTGGATAAGAGTAAATCAGGATTTCCGATTATCAGGTGAGATATGCTTTAATAGATTACCAGAGACAAACTTTGTAGCAAAGTCATCAGAATGGGTATTATTGTCCGACTCGTATTTCAGTTTGAAAATACAATCTATGGCAATATTAAGGTATTTATAACCTTAGATGTTAGAGATAGAAACGCGTAAGGAGTACCATGGGCATTCATATTATGTCTATGATTACGGTATTGTTATTATTTATAGAAATAGAAAAAAATCGACATTATTAGGTGATGGTAGTTACAATCGTTAGATGGGCTGTCAATTTATTTGCCATTTAAAGTGTCATAAAAAGAAAAAAATAGGTACGTTGTTTTGCGTTACTATAAGGCTATATTTGTAATTCGCCGCTCTGGACAAAACAGTATTTGCCTCTGTCTTTAATGGTCAGCTCAGCCGACTACAATTTTGCTGGCCCTTATTTTTCTTGCCCAGCTTGAACAGACATGTACTAACGTCGCTATATTTATCATTTGTTTGAAAAGGAACCCTTAAATCAACTGGGATTTCGGACGAAATGGACGGGAACGGAAATTAGGACTGTTTCGTTTCGCAGATTAGATGGATTCGGCTTACTAATCTGTTGCTACGACAGTGTTTTATTGCCATTTTTCTTCTTATGTAAAAAATGGCCTTATTAAAAATGTATCTTGAGTACTTGTAGTATCTACTAAATACTAAAATCTCGTATCAATTCTCGATAAACAAATGGATTCATTCAAACAAAAAGGGAACATTTATATTGCAAACATAGCGATCAAAATGTTCAGATGGGACGTGTAGAAATGATTCGTGATTGACGTATTTAAGTTATAGAAGTCGATTTAGATAGCTTATGAGCATTCCATAGATGTTGTAGCTATTATTCTTAATCTATGATAGATGTTATAAGTACTCGTATTAGGGTTACCAGTTGCAATTTTTGGTTTTTATTTAAAAGTATTTTTTTTTTAATTATAAAAATTTCGTTCACTTTTATCTAAATATGATTGTTTTAGTTACGTTTTACCATATAATCACTACGCGAACGATTAAAAATATACCATTATGTATTTTATTTATTTACCTCTGGCATATTATCTTGAATTTAATACTCTTATACCAAAACTATTAAGAAACTACACAAATTTCTCCACGCCCACTTAATTTGTCTTAAAAAATTTGGTAACACAAAAAACATGATCTTAAAAGAATTGTAATTATACAGTATATTAATTAAGATAACCTATTTTTTTAAGGGTTACCTTCTTCAGGTATATCAGCCCTATCGTATCTTGAATAGATTTTTCAAATAAAGCTTTATCTATTTTTTCAATAGAGGAATGAATGGAATTATTAAGTCCTAGAATTTTTCTCTAGAAAAAAAAAAAACTTCATAGTAACAAAAAAAAAAAAAATTAAACTAAAAAAAAAGAACAATCTGTATCTGTACCAACGAGACTATATAATAATAGGCATGTACACGTCTTGTACTGTGTAATGTAAATTATGTGTAATAAAGATTTTACAGCACAATACAATTTTTGAGACTCTATTATTAAATATTAACGCTAGTATTGAGGAATGGGTTAAGTCAATTAACGCACTGTATATTTTGGATTGGAATTATAAAAAAACAATTTACATAGTAGAATAAAATTACAAGGTAGGGAATGGTTGCGTGACGACAAGGAATGTAGTAATATTGTGGTAATATCATAAGAATTATTCTAATGGTAATATTATACGTTCGGTTTTAACATAAGGGTCATACATTGAAAAAATAATTAATTGAATTTATAATCTATGTTTCAGTCGGCTTACTATATGAAAACCCGACAATAACAGAGCTCTTTAGAGATGGAACCCTAAAAATAAACCAAGAATACTATAAACCAAAGATTACCTATAAATTATAATTCAATAAGTTATTTACTTGACGATAATCAGACTGGTGATTTCTAGAATTCTCATTTGTCTTCTACGGTAATTGGACGTGAGAATAGCTGTATAGAATCAATAGCGAATACACTGCTGTGTATATAAATAAGTCAATAGCAGAACTTAAAAATCTAGGCACGTTTTATCTATCTTGATAAATCGAGTAGATTCTGTGATATGACTTGGTATCTTTATTGAGTACGAGTCTTTGGAAAGTTTGTATACCTATTTAGACATATTATATAATATTTTTTATTTTTTCTACTATATCTGTGATAGATGTTATTTCGAAACGACTAATAGGCATATTATAAACCATTATAAAACCTAACAAATATACTTATTTGAGGCAGGTTTTAGAAGTACTGGATTTTCCATTGCTCTATTTATAGTGCGAATGTACTAAGGGATTTTAGATGTTTGAAGAAAAATCTTTTTAATTTTTTAGGATCTATTTTTTTAAATAAATCTATTTTTTCTATAATGGCTCCATCGAGCTTCTGATTATTTTGCCAATATCAAGGTTGGAAGAGACACGGCAATTTTGTCGGTGAGGTGATAAGATTTCCTTGTTCATGTTCGTTCAGTATTTACATCAGGGATATTTCAGGAAGAATGGTTTATGATAGAGAGAGAGCGTGTATGACAAGATTGATGAATGTGGAAGAAGCGAAAGAGGTTTGTTTGAATCGAAGCATTTGGCGTTCCATTGTTTCTGCCTACCCTAATGGGAGACAGGCGTGACAGATATGTATGTATGTATGTATGGTTTATGATAGTGAAAAATGATATTTTATTATTATATTATATTTGGACAACTATTTTGTAATTTAAATCATTGTTTAAAATAGTGATTTCAATTTTAACAAAACCAATAAACGACAAGACATATTTTCATTGTAATGTGGCTAATATATGACAGATTGTGTGGCAAAAATTGGGTGACATACAGGTGACAAGTAGACGAGCAAGTAGCATGGTTATAATATTTTTTAATAGAGCTTAATAAAAGTATAAATAGATTAGCGACCGGCTGAAATAGATAAATCAAATATCTCTAAGCAATAATAAAAAAAAATAAGCTACAAGTCCGTGTTACTCGCCAACAATGTAGCGTTTTACAGGCGAAATAATTTTAAAATCGCTTAAGTATTTTAAATGCACTATCGGGATTGAACGCAATTAATGTTATGTGTAATTGCGTCACGTTAAGTCCCGATAGTGTATTTAAAATATGCGATTAACAACGCTAAAGTTTATAATTAACTGTCGGTTGAGTCCTTTTTGAGTTTATCCATTGCAAATAAAAAAAATCAATTCGTTTCTCTTTAGATTATTAATTTAGGCGAATAATTTGACTTGACTATAAGACTGTGCTGATGTCTAGGTAATAGTAGTATAAATAAAAAACAAACGATTAATTTATTGAATGTGTCGATTTGTGATAATTTGAAAAAATTTGGTTATCTTTTATATGAAAATTTGTACTAATTTATTCTTGAATAATTCCTAAGTTAAATTGTATGTATTTCATAAAGAAAGGTATAATAATCAATATACTAGAATATTAGGTAATATTGTAATCCATTATTCTATGTTAATAAAAATCTGCATATATGTGTAAATACAACGTTAAAAAGACTTTCTACAAAAGTGTATTCATAAGCTTTAAGCGTCTCTGTGAGGCTGTGATGGTAACAATAAGATGGATTAGAAGGATTATCAAGCATCTTTCTGTTGAAATTTATGCTCGTCTGCTGAATCTTTTTGATTGACACCCAGTGATTAGTCGTCGGATGATATTCAAAAATATATTAATCAGTCAATCAAAATTTCTTGTGCGTTGAAAGAAATAATTAGGCAGTATAAATTATGGTCTTTGTTACTCAAACAATTTGGACAAATTTTATGATAATGACTGCAATCTTTATTATACAATAATAATAATAATTTTAACAGGGTAGGCACTTAGATGTGGCCATTTCAATCCTTAATTACAGACTAAATTAGGAGCAGCGCTCAATGTGCATAATGACTTTATTTTTTTTAATGTATTCACAGGACAGAGGGAGACTTTGTACAAAAGTCGATTGCTTGTGTACCTCTGTCCCATTCGTGTTTTAACCGTGAAGCAGTTGTGTCTGCATGGCTGTGTTTCGGTTTGAAGGATGGGATATGGCGTGAATTTACTGGGTACGGAGAAATAACACATGAGTCCTCAGGAATGGCAATGCATGGGGGTATCATGGGCGAAACAGTATACTCTGTTATGTCCATAGTACTGCTCATGTCTATAGGCTACGGTTACCACTTTCCATCAGGCGGGCCGTCAGCTTGTTTGCCATTCTGAGTTGTATAAAAAAAAAAGACGAAATATACACTTTATATATTTTCTAATGCAATTTATTATTGTTGCATTAAAAGTCCTGAGTTATTTAAACGTTGTTTCTATATATTTACAATATATTACAAGTAACATATAACATATTACAAGTAATTACACAATTTCTTTTTATATTTTAGATTTTTAGTAACAGATACTGTTAATACTACGGGTATGATATTCGTAAGGGATAAAACGGACATGATAGAAGCAGAGTTAACAAGACAAGTTTCATCACAAATTGAAGTGTTCTCCGGATTATATTCTTTGAGGGATGGTAATGAAGAAATAATTACGTCTAACATTACGGTGGAGAGTGGAGGCGTATATGCGTTGGTGATTGATAAAAATGGAAGTGACTATGTGAGTATATAATTTATTCATTGAAATATAATCAAAGAAAATAAAAAAAAAAACCGATTTCAATTGTGACAAAACCAGTTTTTTTTTTATCTAAAAACTACTACTATTTAATCGATGTTCATAAAATTTCTATGGGACCAATGTTCTTTCAGATAAAAAGAGAATTTTGAAATTTTCATGTTAGTGTGTAATCTTTATTATTTAAACAGTAATGAAAGGAATTAAAGGGATTTGAATATACCTAAATGAGTAAACCTAGTAGATATCGTAAAAAATATTTAAAATGGATTTTTGCGAACGTTTCTTTTTTTTACGAGCCCGAAAGTGGCTAGGCTGGGAATAATTTATTGACACTAAAAAAATGCTGTGTAGTATTTTTACTAGTATCTTTGAGGACAACTATTCGTATTATAGAGTATTCTTTTTTTATTATATTTGTATTTTTTGTTACATAAAATATTTGCATCTATTAATAATTAGTTATTCACATAAACTTCAGTAATAGAAAGAAAGAAGAAGAAAGAAAGAAAGAAAACATTTATTGACAGCAACAAAAAGTTACATAAATTATGAATTGAAAAAAAAAAACTTTACATTTGTTATTGCCAACGTGGTCACCACTCAGCATGTGCTGCAGTAATTTAATTGCTACAGTGCTGATATTCTGTGGTGCCCATGCGTGACATTACGAACGACGACAGCAAATATATATATATATATACACACACACACACACACACACATACATATATACACACACACACACACACATATATATATATATATATATATATATATATATATATATATATATATATATATATATACAACATCTAATTGGCTTTTAGTCTCTAAATGTATTTGGTTTATGTAAAAATTATAGGGTGATTAATCATATGTAGATCTGTATTTTGATTCACAAAGTACTAACTTCTGTACAATTTTTCTGTAAAATGAAAGGAGAAAAATGATACGTGTTTGAAGTATACAAATATGAAATAAGTGAAGTGAAAAGGGAAATATGTAGTCGATTGAACGCGTATCTTATCGCTTGAGTGCAGCTCAGAATTGATTTTGTACTGGGCACTTTGTTATTTGATAGATTTTTAATATAAAATAGAATATATTAGAAAAATTCCAAAAGATATTTGTCGCATCGCTACCTACGAATGAAATTGGATGATATTTTGCTGGACTCCCATTTTAAGATCGCATAAGTATTTATGTACATAGTTCTAGTTAGTAACTGGTAGTGTATTGAATTATTATTTATATTTTATTATCATATTGTTACACGAAACAACTTATCTTCACGACTCGAATTTTATTTACTCTGCATGTAGTAATATAAAAAAAATTTAACTAGATGATGTCTATACATGGGGAATATTTAAGAATAATAAATATGGGGGATTTTAATAAGACTGGTAGACGTCAAAACAATAATTTTTAGAAATTTTGTCAGCCTGTCTGTATGTTTGTTTCCGCATCACGCAAAAACTGTTGCACCAAATTGAATGTTGTTTTCACAGTTGTATTTCTGAAAGGTTAACTAAAAATCTGATATATGTTCCATCTTAATACGCCATCTTGTCTATTTGATAGATTTTTCTATTCGATTATCTATTTCGATTGTCTATTTCCTGAAATCCACGCGTATAAAGTAACGGACATAAAACTAGTTTACAATATTAAAAATAAATGAGTTTTGTTTCAGAAATCCAATTTAGTAGTAATCACTGAGGCTAATTCCTTCACAATGGCTTGGCTGCTTCCACAGTTTTTAATTATGTCCATTGCTGAGGTGGGTGCTATATTGTTTTTCATTTTATTATTGTTTCCTTTCAAAGAATCAATTTTCTTATTCAAACGAATCTGTTTTCTTTATTAACGTTTATTGTAATTAGATATTTGACAATTATTGATTGGGGTATAAAATTATATCATATAATTAAATATTCGTAATAAGCGGGATTTCAATCATCAGTTTGAGTTATTGTTTCGAAGCTATCAATCACTATATTTGGCGTGAGTATATAGTGAAAACGCATTACAGTCTTGAATGAAATAATACGCGATTTATTAGACTCTTCCTTTCTTCCTTCGCCCGAGCAAGAACAATGAAGTCCTGTGATATTGATAACTGATACATTATTTTTTTATAAACACATATACATAGAAAACACCAAAAATAATACAGAACAGACGTACGCATGAACGCAAAATCTTTGTGTTGTGCGGGAATTAAACTTGGGACTATTTGGGAAGGGATGGCGGTGTGTTTTTTTTTGAATAGATGAGAATAAAATAGTAACTCTGCCTGCGTTAACAGTATACACTGGCGAGGTAACAGTGAGGGATGATAGAGGACGATGAAAGCAGGTCAGTTAGTCCATCCTTATGATATCCACAAGAATTAACCATAATGGTTTCTGCGAGAACTGCGTCGAGGTTGACCTGATACATGCCAGCCCGGTTGCTAGCAATATACCCATATTGCTAGCAACCGGGCTGTTAGATCCCATTATTAACAATTTCTTTCCTCCTCTTAATATAGTATCTATACATGTACCTAATTATAGGTATTGTTTTGCGTGACGGGCAACGAGTTCGCATTCAAAGAGTCGCCTGAGAGCATGAAGGCGGTGATGATGGCTGTATGGCTTCTGACTGAAGCTGTGGGGAACGTTATCATCATTGTCATCACGAGACTGTTCGTCAATTATCGCCAGGTACTATTGCTATATATTTTATATGTTTTTCGTTTAAAAAATATTTTAGATGTATTTTTGATAAAAATAATAAGTACACAAAAAATGACAAAATATTATTGCAATATGTATGTACGTGTGATTCCGATGAGTTTATTATTTGTATTTTTTGTATAATAAGTCTTAATATTTGGCAGAATAAGATTGGACTATAATGTTCTTCTGTTGTAACACCTATAAAAAAGTACCTTATTCTATAATAATCTGCAAATAAATGAATTCTGAATCTAATAGAATTAAAAGCAAACAAGTTCACGGTTTCTCTGATGAAAGCGGTAACCGTCACCTATAGCTGTGAACAGTACCATGAACATGATATCCATGGCACCTCCCATATATTGCTATTTTTGAGAAGTATGATGTTATGCCTCCGTAACCTGTAATTTTATTGCCAAATCCCGCTATTCAAACTGCAACATAGCCAAGCGAAGTTGCTTCAAGGCAGAAACACGGGTGAGACATAGGTACCCATGCAGACTTTTGGACAGTCTCTCTCTGATCGTTTTACTCAAAACAGATCTATTCTGAGATATATTATTATAAACTAAGTTGCTGTTTACGTTGGTTTACAATTAAAGACATGAACGGACGAAGGTGATATTAGGCATTTTCGGATTTTCGCTGATTTATGAATGAATAAAGGCTCATACAAATATAACTACATTTGATTATTATAACTCATGTTAGTATGCACATAGTATACTATATTATTGTTGTTAGTACGTACATAACATCTTCATCTAATCCATCGATTCATCGACATATTCGGTACAAAATATTTACTCCTTAGAAAAAACTTGTTCTCTATTTTGTAAAATATCTTCTTTATTTTATGTGTATACTTTACATGAATTACTCAAGCTGTGCACATAATGTAATTGGATTGTAACCTAGCCGAATCATAAATACTTAATTTTTTTTTATGGTTATGATCTGTTTTATATGTCTAATAAATAAATAAATAAAAATCTACGCATCATCATCATCATCACCATTATATCAGCCATTAACTGTCCATTACTGAACATATGACTTCCCCTTGATATCGCTATTTCATCTAGTGTAGATGGAGTGGTGGAGGGAGAAAGTGGCTCTTTACACTACGTTTGTTTATATTGTCGATGTTTCTTTTTTTATACCACAAAGATGGCAAACAATCATACAGCCCGTCTGATGGCAAACTGTTACTGTAGCCTATGGACGCTTGCAAGACTAGGGGTGTCACGTACGCGGTGTCAATTCTGAAGAAACATTAATACACCCTTTTTGAAAAACCCCATATTGTAGTCACCTTCTTTGAGATACCTGAAAGTTTAAATAAACGAATAATTATTAAAGAAAAATGTATATATCAACAGGAGACACAGTTCTTCTTCTACACTGGTCTTATATTCGGTGCAATGGCTGTCTTCTATTACCTCTCACAAGGTTACAAGCATGGGCACAGCGCAGAAGAAGACGGCCCAAAGAAGGAATGCAGGAGTAATAGTGAAGTATTGTATCTACAGGTTAAGCAAACTGAAGACTGTTTAGATCATTAAGAAAATTTACATTACCACCTAAATATTAAAATTAATTAATATAGCATCAATTAGATAGCTTAATATTAAGTGGATAAATAAGTAATTTTTTTTTTAATATTATAATATTTACAAAACAATTAACATCACAATTTGATATATAATAATTTAACTCAATGGTGAAAGAGATAGACGAAAATTTTAAGTGAGACAGACAATTGTACCTACAATATGATCGAATTAAGAAATGTATTTTGTTTCTTTTTTTTACTTATAATTTATATAGTATGTAATAAAATGCTTTATTATTTTATTAAATATTTAATGTTATAATAAATAATCCAAGAATCAGTTACAAGCAAGTTGTATATTTGTATAGTTTAGTATCTACAAGAAAGTACTAAAAAGGTAACAGGTATACATTATTCATAACATTAAACATTAACTTAATTACATTACATTTATATTTAATTTAAAAATATTTGTAATATAATATTGTATATTAGAAGGATATTCAAATAAGTTCAATTCAAATAACAAATATTTTACAATATTTGAAAATAATAAGGAAACTTACGCAAAACTATGTGATGGTGGCGCTATTAAAAAATATATCGCTGGCTCGCGACATATAAAAAAATTTTTGTATGAATGCTGTGTAACCTTTTTGTTGAGTACTGTAAAGTAGCAAAGTTTTTATGATGAAATGAGATACATTATAAATAGTTCTACAATACTATGAATATTGATTTATTTTACTGCGTTTTAACATTTTATTCCTTCTTTACGTTTCTTTACGTATACATTTTCTAGGTGGTTACATAGATTAACTTCTAGTTTAGTCAATATAATGATTGTGCCGCTTCTTAAAAAAATCGCAATGGTTTACTTACTTTGTGTATTACTTATTCTTGCCGAAATCTTTGGCTTATGTTACTATTTATTTTCCCGTCTTTTAATACTGACTAAAGCTAAGATAAAGTTAGTATACTTTATAATATAATGGCGCCACCATCAGGTAAATACCATTGGTAATTAGCTTTCCTATTATGACTTGGTTTTCATAAATAATTCGGCCGAAGAATTATCTATAGATATTTATGATTTCACTTAAGTTCTAAAATGTATGAATTATATTTACCTATCTTTATTTATATTTACCATTAAAACGTTTATTTTTCTGTACAAAAAAAAAATATATCAAATCGTTATAGCTGCGGTTGAAATAGAAAAAGACAATAATTCGAGTTAAAATCAGTTACAATGCAGTGATTACTGAATCATATTTAAAATATACAAAATTAATTAGGTAATGAGAGTCTATACTTCAGGATTTATAAATATCCTGATGGCAGAAAGTAGAAACCATTACCTAACAGCATAATCAATGCATAGCAACATAGTATATAGTACTATCAAACATAGACAGGGAATCAGACCTACGTTTGCATTCTCTATGTTGTCTGTGGTAAGTTTCTAAATTTGGATTTTATTTGAAATATTGGCAATCTCGTTCTTTTTTTAAAAGTACAATTATTTTAATTTTGTCAGGAATATTTGTAGTATAATATGAATAGGTAGGTAATAAATGTTCCTATTGTTTATTATCTATATATTGTTATATGAAAATTTAATGTTACCCGAGATAATAATTTTGCTGTAAATAATTATTGCTTCTAATAGTAGTTTAAATTAGAAAACGTGCCAGTGTAACGTCAAGAGGCTATTATGCCTTCGTTATAAACCCAAAGGAACAATTCGACCTTAAACTTATTCACACTAAGCCTATAAACACAAGCTAAAATAATATATAGTTTTATATAGTGTAAGAGCGTAATATTATCAGTAATATATTATGTAGGTACTTACTTAAAATTTATATTACAATGAGGACGGCTTCGTTTTTTTTTGTTTTATATTTGTTTGTTTATAATAGATAAAACCAAAAAGTATTTGACCAATTTTTAAAATTATTTTAATCTATAGAAAGCTATTTATCACCGAGTAACGCATATATATTTAATCTATATTGTATTTTAAAAAAATAGAGATCCTTACAAAAATTACTATAATGTAACCCAAAGTATTAAAAATTTGCCTATTGGAATTAAATAAATATATAAAATACTAATTCATCTTTCTATCTATCTATTCATGGGAAGACAGGGCGAATAACTAGTTAATAATAAAATTGTATCTTATTGACGTTGATCTGTCTGTTACAAAAAGTCATATCGCAAAAAAATGATGAATGACTTCAACATAATAAGATCTCTTTTTTTTAAAAAAAAAAAAAACTTATAAAAAGTGGTATTCGTCTCATTTACATTTATAAACATACTAGCTTATACCCATAACTTTATCCACATTACCGGAATATGGTCACTGACCGGGATAAAAAATCTATATCCTTCTCCGTCCTATATAGTACGTGTAAGCCAAATTTTATAGTGATTGATTAAGCCGTTAAGGCGCTGTAAGCTAATAAACAAACAAACTCTCTTTCATATTTATAATATTAGTAAGGACTTGGATAGTACAGATAACTTAGCTTCATTCTTTTATAGTTTTAAAAATATTTTATCGACTTTTGTATAAAGTCTCCCTTTGTACAAAAGTAGATTGCTTGGGTACCTCTGTCCCATTCGTGTTTCTACCGTAAAGCAGTTGTGTAGTAGCATAGCTGTGTTTCGGTTTGAAGGGATATGGCGTGAATTTACTGGGTACAGAGGAATAACATCTGAGTCCTCAGGAATGGCAACGCATGGGGGGTATCATGGGCGAAACAGTATACTCTGTTATGTCCATGGTACTGCTCATGCCTATAGGCGACGGTTAACCCTTTCCATCAGGTGGGCCGTCAGCTTGTTTGTCATTCTAAGTTGTATAAAAAAAATCTTCAAATAAATTACTATAATATTTATCATTATGGACTTTTTATTGAAGTTGGTTAACAATTGAACCATCAACTTTAAAAATGCAATTTCAAGTATACGCAGACCACAATCACAATACGAGTAGGCATTGTAATACGCATTTGAGCTTTTACCTTTTCAGCGAAATGCATATTTTTTCCTCTCTTGTCTTTTAAAGACAGATACTCACTCGCATCATAGCATGGCATTTGAAAAGTCAGTAGATCTATTGCAAGGTACTGTTCGCTAAAATTATAATTTTATTTTGATTTCTCGATAATCTATACCATAATAATTTTACTGAACTATCAAAATAATATATACATAATAAAATAATTTAGCAAAATAAGAAAATAATAATAATTAAATAGTGCAATCCCGGCACTATTGTAAAGAATTATCAAAATCGATTCTTATTGTCATTGATTTTTCGTATATAACTTTCACCCAATGAAACGTAGCAAAAAAAAAAACAAATACAGACGAACTGGGAATCTGTTCCGTCTGGATGTCACTTAAAATTCAGTGAGAACTAGTCCTATACGTCCATGAATGCATCGCAACATGGAAAATTGCATTCCGCTGTGTGCAAATGCTCCAATTCGTGCAATTACGTTGTTGTGTGGTTGAAATCAGTCTCCGTTCCTAGTTGACAATACTAGGTACGTGTTATTAGTATTGTCGTTAGCCATTCTGTTTTGCTTCAAAGTTTTTACAGACTTGTAAAGTTTAATAGTATATATATATTAACACATGCATATAGCAGGTACATCGATATCGTAGTATCTTGTATGATATCCTTCCGTTTCCTATCAAATGAGATGGCAAATCAGCTGCTGGCAGCTAGTTTACTTGCTGCATAAAAATCATAAATCAAAATAGTTATTTTTAGGAGGAAAAGGATTTTTAAAATGTTTTGGAAAGGCCCCATTGTTGGCAATCACCCTATCAGGTCTTCCTCCACGCGGTACCCCCTGGAAACCATCGTGGTTAATTCTTGTCGATTTCTTCACGATGGGACGATTGACTTGCCTTCATTCTCATCTATCATCTATTACTGGTGCCTCGCCAGCGTATACCGATAGCGCAGGCGAGGTTACCATTCCATTTTTACTCAATAAAACAAATAGTTACTTTTTAATGAAAAGTTTTGGTGTATCATCTCGACAACTCAAACTGGATTATGAATAAAGAATGAAAATAATATTTTTTTATCCAAGATTTACTACCAGAGATATCTAAATAGAGTAGATAGATAATGTTGAAAGTTTTGTATGGGGACCGGCTGTCGTCGCTCATCTGTCATATCGTATGTGACAGATGTCGACTCGACACAATCACAATAGGTTCTTTATATAGCGTAGGTGAACAATGAGAGAGGAATTTTGAAAGTTCAACGAGAATTCAATAAAAATGTTTTTTTTTTATACCACTGAGGTGGCAAACAACGGGCATACGGCCCACCTGATGGTAAGTGGTTACCGTAGCCTATGAACACCTGCAATACCAGAGGTATTACGTGTGCGTTGTCGACCCCGAAGAAACCTCTTCACGGGGGGTAAACCCCGTAAAGAGGAACCCCATGCTGTAAAGGATTGAAAGTTTGTATGAAATTGGGTTAGTTTAGAAGTTAGACACGTAAAATTTTATAGAATAAGAAATCGAATACGACACGTGAAAGAAGCCGTGGGCAAAAGCTAGTTATAAAGAACAAAATAATGCTATTGATGATAAATGCTAATGATAACGCTATATTGCTATTTGGAGCATTCACGGAATGATTGCTATCCGATTGTGGAATGATTTGTAACAATTGATTTATTACAATAAATTGTTTGCTACGGATTGTAATGTGCCGACCGCGGGAAATGTGTGATGCATTGAACTGGACTGAACATAGTTATACAGATAGAAAGAAAAGTGATACATTGTTTTTTCATAAATATCTGATTTAAAATAGTAATATAAATTTAAAAAACGCGTAGAATGATTTATAGTTTATTTTATGCAACTTAAAATGACAAACAAGCTGACGGCCCACCTGATGGAAAGTTGTAACCGTCGCTTATAGACATGAGCAGTACCATGGACATAATAGAGTATACTGTTTCGCCTATGATACCTCCCATGCGTTGCCATTCCTGAGGACTCGGGTTTTATTTCCCTGTAAATTCACTGCCATATCCCACCCTTCAAACAGAAACGACAGTCATGCAAACACAACTGCTTTACTATAGAAACACGAATGGGACAGAGGTGCCCAAGGTGAGGGAAAGTCTCCCTTTGGTAAAATAGATATTTTATAGAGACTGGAATTAATCAAAATTATTATTTGGTATCATACCAAACGTTGACGTAACAATTACCCTTTATAGCTATATATGTATATACAATAGCCAGTTGACCCCAATTTTTTTTATGGAGATAAAAACTGTCATGTGTCTCAAGCTGTAGTAAACAATACACATTTACACAATCCAATATCGGTCGAGTGGTTTCGGATGTTAGCGTGAAAGGACATCCTGACACGGGATATTTATTTATTAAGATTTATAGTTTTTGATAAATACGCAAGGAAAAGGTTATTTTAGAAATTGCATTACCGTCATCATTACTTTTAGTGATCATCCACTACAAAATAAAACAACATAAGATTGTGTTGTAAAAAAAAAAAAAAAACTTACTTTAATTGTGACAATTTTTTTTTATTTTGACTTACATACTGAACTATTGTAAGTATTAGCGATGTTTTGTGCATTAGTTAAGTCTTGTTCTTATTTGTGAAATTGGCTTTTATATATATATATATATATATATATATATATATATATATATATATATATATATATATATATATATATATATATAAAAAATATAATATATATATATATATATATATATATATATATCAATCTATATATATATATATATATATATATATATATATATATTATTTCAAATTTAAAAAAAAAAATCCAATGTGAGTTTATTTATTTATTTTTGTTTGTTCGATACCTCTTCGTGTATGGAGTGGAGATAAAGCATCTTGACGTCTTAACGGCTCAACCAATCCTGATGATATATTTATTTATTTATAGCAAGGCAACAGATTACAAATTAATACATTTTTAAAACGGCATTAAATTTGCACTCCAATAACTGCTCTGCATAACATTCGATATTATATACATTAAAAGAATAACGGCTATAAATTTAAAGTAACAAATTGGCAGCCTTAATGTAACATTGCAAGGATTGTTGGAAGATATCAAGGTCCCTGCATACATTGTTATATTTTCTGCACATGCGGATAATTGGATTGTGATACGATACATTATTATTAAAAATCGGTATATAAAATAATTTTTGTATTCTTTTATTACCTGTACGAAATGAAACATAGTAATTGGGAAGGAGAAGCATTGGCTACTTATTATTCTGTCATTATCTTAATCAATTCAATGTCACTCGGTCACGCAGATGAAACTGCGAGTAAAACCTAGTAATTTTGTCAAAATAACGAATGTGAAAGTTTGTAACATTGAATAAATGGATGGATTGGTGTTTTTTACTTTTCTACACAAAACTATTGAGCGGATTTGAATAAAATTTGGTACACGAGTAGGTTACATTCTAACTTAGCATATAGGATATTTTACATACTGATATACGCGGACAGGCCCATGGGGTATAGTTAGTTACATGTAATCTAGTACTGTATTTATTTGTATTGGCTTTCCAAATTCGGTAGGAGCCATAGTTGGAGATACTGGATTGTAATAAATGAACCTTTACAATCCAGTGTGTTTAACGACAGTTTTGTATATTGATTCATATGGGCGATTACGTGTGATACAGCTAGTTCATAATAAAACCTTATAGCCGCCGCTTGATTTCTTTAACTCAATATAAACCAATATACAAACTTTACAAGAGCTTCGAAGACAAATTACTATGAGGTCAATAACCTCTTCACCACCATATCAAAAAACAATAATAACACTTAAAGGGGTAGCAACCCTCCAATCACAATATGAATGACAGACGAACGAAAATAGACCTATAGCTGAGTCATTGCATGTCCATGATTGATGAATGTTGTGATGGAAGTGATTCAACCGTCACTACAGAGACGCCGTGAGTAATTGATATTAGACAAGTCCTCAAGAGAATTCGAAAGCGTGGATTTTTTTGTGTATATGTAGCTACTCGATATCTTC